TCGTTTCTGTTGCTATGCAGAAGCGTTTTAGTTTGATGTAGTTTCACTTATTTTTGCTTTAGTTGCTTGTACTTTTGGTGTCAAATCCAAAAAAAAAAACCACTGCCAAGAAGAGTATCAAGGAACTCCTTCCCTACGTTTTCAAACAATATTTCAAACTACGTTACAAAGCTATAATTATCCCTAAGTGTGTTGTCTCAGCTTTGTTCTTCTTTCTCAACACTGCTTGACTATTGGGGTCTTTTATGGTTGCGTATAAATTTTAGGATTCTTTTTTCTATGGGAACAGTGCCATTGGTCTCTAGGCAGGCACTGTACAGAATCTATAGATGGCCTTGGGTCATATGGACATTTTAACAGTGTTAATTCTTCTGATCCATGAACAGCCGACAGTTTTCCATTTATTTGTGACTTCTTCACTTTCTTTCATCAATGTGTTAATGTTCAGTGTACAGATCTTTCAACTCCTTGGTTAAACTTTTGAAGCTACTGTAAAGGAGACTGTTTTGTACATTTTTAAGTGCCCACATCATCTTTTGTTATTTGAATCACAGTGACATCTAGTGGTTAAACTACGTTGAAAGTAGTTACTGAATGTCAAAAAGACCCAAAATTTAAATAGGTTCACATGGCCAAAGAATACAGCAGCAATTAACTGAAATTCATAAAATCTCTTAGAAAAATTCCCCTTTAATAAATAAGGGTTCAAGGGAACAATAGAAAAGCAATTAATGAAATGAACAGCAAACTTTCGCACAATTTCCTGAGAAGACAATTAAAGGAACATTAGAAGGAATTCTATTTCATTTTGACAGGATTCCATATATATGCTACACAAGTTGGAAAAAAAAAAGAGCACCAACCAGTTTTATATCATGAAGTTTTATCATATGTGTTGTGGCAGACACACAGCTTCACATATTTTCCAAACCACTAGGAAAAATGAAGTAGCTCTCGAGTGAGCTTTCATTTATTTTAAAAAATTTTCTAAGGGCTATAAAATATTCTGAATTTAAACCTACACTGAAAATTTATATTTATCATCTGTAAGTCTGAATAGTTTATGAAAATCCAAATGAAAAGTCAACATTAGCATAAGCAGTAAAAAGCCAAACCAAACCGACCCAACAAACAAAAAAACACCCATATAAAAGTAAGAAATAAGTAACTGGATGCAATCTTTTGCTCTAAAACTGCATTTTTCTATCAGTCGAATGAACAAAGCCCTAAATGAATTATGGAGACCTAAATTTTACCCCAGATCTATTACTGACTTATCATGGGGCTTCAGTTTCGGTTTCCTTTTCTGAAAAATGAAGACCAGGTAACTAGGTTCTTAAAACAGTAATATTCTTTTTGAATAACAGGGATGATAAGGTCAGAAAATCTAGCTTCAGTTGTCTTGCCCAATTAGCTCTAGGGATAAACCCAAACACTCCTAATACTTTTTTTTTAATTACGAGTATAAATTACATACAGTTAAGGAACACAAAGCTTAAGTGTTCAGCTCAAACTTACACACACACACACCTGGGTACCCATCACTCAGGTGGAGGCAGAATATTTATGGCATCTTAGTAGTAGATTCTCTGTGTGCTCCCCAGTCACTACCAACCCCCAAAAGGTAACTGGTATTTTGACTTTAATCATATAGATGAATTTGACCGGTTTTTGAAAAGAGTGGAATTGCTATAATAGACACTACCAGGCAGGTTTCCAAATCAGCGCTCCCAAGTAATCCTCCTCCCACTCTCGGTTCTCAGTCCACGCCCTCACCTTCACCAGTGCTGCTCAGCTGAGTCACACGGAGCAACCTGATAGTAACTATGACACAAATTTGTATTTCTCTGATGACTAACCAACACTGAACACTTTTTCATGTGCTTATTTGCCATTTGGATACTTTAATTTCTGAAATTCATGTTTAAGCCCTTTTAATCATTTTTAAATGCACTGTCATTCTTTTTTTTGTTGTTGTTTTGTTTTGTTTGTTTTGTTTTAGCTGAGCCATCCTGCCACCTGTTGGCAGCTCAGCGGCAGCTCAGCTCGGGCCGTGAAACAAACCGGTGATGCATTGTCGTTCTTTTTCTTGTTATTATTCTTTAAAAATTTTAGATATGAGTCCTATGTTGATTATACATATTGCACATTCTTACTTATTCTAAGTATTAAAATGGAAGTATAAAATTTATGACAACTAATAGCAAGCGAATATTTGAAAATTTTGCTCCAATTATTTAGCTTGAGTTGTTGCCCTTGACCTATTGACTGTATCATTTTTAATGCTATATGCCACACTCCCTCTTTCAATGCATGTAACTATGAAAGAATACATAAACAGAGACTCCACAAAGTCGGCTGTGGTGGCTTTCTTTGTCCTAACGAGGCCAGACTAGGAACACCTTCAGAAATAAGTAGTACAGGCAATTACACGGGCAAAATGTTCTCTGAGGAATCTGTTCTTGGCTTCCTACACACTGTGTGAGGCCTGAGAAGATGGACCTCCTATAATGGCCCGCATAAGTTAGAAAAGAAATGAGTGGAGTGGGCATAGAAGGTAAACATTTGTTACAGAAATAAAAACTCCTAATTTTCATCATAAGAAAATAACGTGGTTGTCTGGGGGAAAATATTTAAAAATATTAAAAATAAAAAACTACAACAGCAGCTTTAGCCAATAAGGTCAATTTAATTTTCAACACTTCGGCAAAGCATCAGCTAATTTTAATAATTAACATGCAAAGAACTGAGATACTTACTGATATAGTAAGAGTTTCATTCTTGTGGTCAAAATTCATTTTTCCACAATAGGCCCTCTGAGATAATAAGTTGTCAAAGTACAATTTGCATCGTAAAGTCAAACACCTTGAAATATAAAAATTAGGTACATTTAAAAGAATATAAAGATACAGAAGTAAGTATATATTAGCATGATCTTTAAACCAGCAAGTAAGACCAGACAGAAATATGCCAAAACGTTAACACTGGTTGCCAATTTAATCGGTGGAATTTTAGGTCATTTTTCCCCCAGTCTTTATATTTCATTTGTGTCTCCACATTTTTATCACAAACATCTATAAAACGAATAAAGATGTCATGCCACATTTACTATATCCCATTATATTACAGCCAGTCCATATGGATGTTTCAATTCATCAGCTATCTTTTAGAAAGCATCACCGTAATACAGAAGACATCGATCTGGTCCTTGAGGTGATTAAACTAGCAGTGTTAAGATAATGGTTAAGAGACCTATCCATTTGCCTGTCTCGTCTCTGCTGTATAGTAGCAAAAAGGGTAAGGCAGCCACCTCTTAACCACTTGTACCTGTAATGCCTTATACACTGCTGGGCACCATGCCTTCTCTGCGTATCATCATAGGGTGTTCTACTATAAGGAAGACCTCTCCCTTCTTCCTCATTATTTATTTACTTATCCACCACATGTCTATTTGTCAGGATGGAATCACAGATTCTTATGTTATTCACTGGATTACCATCAATTACTTATTTACTGGATTACCATCTATTACTTATTTATTTTCATCCTCAAATTGTCCCAGATTTCACCAGTGGGAGCCCCTTCAATCTGCCTCCTATGTTCTTGTATCACGGCTCCGGATTTCCTTGGGCACCTCCTTACTTTCTGGCATAGCAAGGTCATCTGCACCTTCCCTGCCTAGCTCTGGAATCAGCCGTTTCTCCAAGGAGCCTTGATTCCTTTTGGGTGGAGAATGGTATTTAGAAAATAAGATCTGGGTGATAACGGACTGGCTATTTTTCTTAACAGTTTTGCTTCTTAATGAGTTGAAGGCTTATTTCTTTAGCGTACCTATCATTTTGTCCTTTTCTCTCCTAATTTCCTTTCTAAGCTGCATTAAATCTCCACACTAGAAAATATTGACAGCCTGAGCTTTCTTTTGTGTTAGAGCAACCACTGTTGGCTGGTTTTCAGAGTTTTCTGTTAATCTTTTCTTTGAATACGGATGTGTATTCTTCAGTTACTTCCATTTACGAGATGTCTAAAAGAGACTTTCCTCATAAAATAGCAAGATGTAAAGAGGCAATTTTAAAAATTTGATCATTCTTATTCTACTCCTAAGTCTGGGTAAACAATATAAAACATTTCAGTGATGAAGAAACATCGAGGTAATAAACTATAAGAGCAACATCTTTACAGAAAACATTTTAAATATAAATTTTCTGGATAACCATATAAAAACAAATCCTATTGCTTCTGGGAAAGCTAGAGTAATATGCATTGTGTTTACCCTTCTGCCTGAAACAACTAAAAAACGGGACAGAGTATATGAAACACGAGTTTTCAGACTCTGGACATCAGACAGCACAGACAGCTCCAGTCAAACTGATCTACAGATGATGGGCAACGAAGGACCTGAGCCCCAGGGGTGCCCCAAATTCCTTCTTACGGAATGTGGAAAGCGGAGCGGAAAGCGAAGGGCAGCCTGAGGCCTCCCGATTTGAGGAAACGGAGCGGGAGTCTGGGGAGGCCAGGAGCCTCCAGTTCGCCAAGGAGAGTCTGGAGAAGAGAGTGCAGCACAGAGAGAGCCCTGAGGACCTAGAGAGGGCGCCTCGCGTCTCAGGCTGAGGACTCGACTCATCAGGGCATGGGTGTGAGACTATTACCCAAGGCTGAGGAGAGAAACTCCGGGGAGAAACAGGAGCCGTCCTCGAAAGTCACCCACAGCCGAGAACAGCTCATGTTCCCACTCGCAAGCGGGAAACCTCCTAACACAAGGTATTACTGGAGTACGCAGAGGACAGGGAGGAAAAACTTAGTCCTCGACTAAAGGCTGCTCTGGTTCTAACAAAACTTAAAAGCAGCCTCAAAAGGATACAAACAAGCCCTATTTAAGTTCTAGTGACATGTTTGTAAAAGTGAAACACACACTTCAAAAGCTAACCTGCAGTTTAGTTACATAATATGGTCAAACACACAAAGCCTGTTTCTCTTTATGGCTTTATCTGAATTTCCTCGTATATACTAAAGCTAGATATGTTGTTTTATTTTAGTCTTAAGGTTATAGAGTTTTGGGTATAAAAACAGGTAGAAAGTACATTACTGAGGGAATGCCTCTGGGGGAAATATATGTTAAATGCAAAGACGAGGGGTGCCTTGGGTCCAGGCATATCAAGGGCCATGCCTCCCTGTAAGCTGTCCTCCAGTTTATTTCTGTTGTGGTGCTTTTCATTGGGGTCAATTTATCCCTGTGCACCTGTACATTTTTGGGTATGATAATAATATCCAGTTTCCCTAATCCTGTATTCATTCATACAACCAATATAGATCACGTTTCAACTGTATTTCAGGCACTGTAGTAGGTGCTGGAGATACAGCAGTAATCACAACAGATTCTGCCTCCGTGGAGCTACACCATTCCAGCTGACCATGGCAAATCAACTCCAACAGAGCTTCAACAGGTCCCATAAAAACTTGCATCTCAAGAACATGCAAAGTCCAGAGGGAAAAAGGCTGACACAGAACCAATGAGCTCCCATTCAAAGGACCTTTATAAGCAGATAATGACCAGCCATCTATGAATTACCTAGTAAAGGACTTCTAATGGAGTGGAAAAGTGGAGAAGCTAGCTATAAAGGTCCTTTCAAATCCAGCGTTCTCTGATTAAATCAGTGGAAGTACTAGCTGACAAAAGTAAGCACCGGCAGCTTCTTCTTTAACTGAATCATGTAAAGTTCTTTTAATTTAACTTTAATATTTATTAAGGCATAAATGAAAACAAAGCAAAAACAAAAACGTATAATATATGGTAATATTTTTTAATGCACTTACCTTCTAAATTGTTGGTATGTTTTGTATCTATGGGTCATTATTTCTTCCAGTGATTTGATAAACTTTTTTAAAGTCTTCACTTTATTATCCAGATCAAGATAGTTTTCTTTTGCCTCTTGGTACTGCCTATTTAATGAACAAAATATTAAGCAAATAAATGTCATTCAAAGAAATGTAAACAAAAGTAAAATCTCAAGTATATTTAAAGGGGAAGCCCAGGGAGTGCTGAGGGGGCCCAGCAGTAGGGGATTTCATAAATGTCCACCCAAAATACACTATGAGAATGAGAGGGTGCTGCCCTGACTGGGAAGAGCTGTTAGCAGCGGGTAGGGTGGGGACAAAGCCGGATTCTAGAGAAGGCAGAGAAAGTACAGGGGAAGGGTGCTCAGGTGGGGCCTAGAGGCGGCAGATCTTAGAGAATGCCAGCAATATGTACCTTCTAAGAGCGAAGGGATCACACTGGAAAGCAAGAAATATTTCCCTCAGTGACAGATGCCAATGCGGGAACAGAGGGACACAGGGCGAGGGATAGGACTCCTGCTCCCCTGCCCCCGCAACATGGGTGAACAAAACTGTCAGCGAGGCAGAGAGCCATGGCTCCTCAGGAGTGTTATTAGAGAGGGCAACAGCTGTTGCTGTAGAAAAGGAGAGGAAGTTCCTGATGAAGTATGGAAGCCAACCCTAGCCAAGGCTCCCCATCCCATCCTCCTTCAAATGCCCAGTCTAAGAAGATTCAACTAATTAAAAAATGAGTAGCAAAACAGGCACAAGCATAGCATCCCTACAAAGATATAGATGGAAACAAAAAAAAGAGTTGGGAAAGAAAGAGCAGCAATAGTCCCTCTAGAGACAAAGAAAACTTCTTAGAATAATGATGTCACAATGCAGATAAAAACTGTAACTGAACACCATGAATTAAAACAAAATAAAACATAAGACAAATGCTACCAGGAAGGAATACCTCAAAGCAGAACTAAAAGAAGAGATAGGTAAACAACAGAAGGTGATAACCAGACAAGAGGAGGAGGTGAAGTGAGAACATGCAGAACTCAAGGTGGGGGGCAGGTTAACAACAACAATGATAGGACAAAATGAGATGCTACACAGAGGCAAACAGAAAACATACTGACAGACACAGAGAACAGAAACGAGAAAAGCAAACCAACTGGGGGAGAAGAAAGGAAAAACAGATACAATGGTTAGCCAAAATAACTAGAGAAGAAAAAGGATATCCAATATATGTATCAATGAAGCCCTTGAAAAGAAAGCTAAACACCAGAACAAAAAATATGTAAAAGTAAAACACAAGGAAACAGGACTTAAATTATGAAATAGGACTTAAATCTACTGAGAAAGCACAGTGAATACCAGGAAAAGGATCACAGCATCTGACACTCTGGACAGCTATCAGACTAAACAGATAAGCGCTATTATACACGGATACTCAGAGACAAAGAATTCTATATTAGGCTAACCTAGTCTTCAAATTCAAAGTTAGAGACAAACAGTTCTGAACACACAAAAATATTCTTTATCATATAGCCATTCCTAAGGAAACATTTAGAGGAGAAACAATTTTTCAAATGGCTGCATAGCCATCTGGAAAAAGATAAATACATTCCTCACACCAAACAAATTCACAGAAAAATGAGCAAGTACATAAAAAGTTCATAGAAAAATAAATACATGGTTCTTCAGACAAGAAAAACTGTTCAACCACACTTAAGTGAAATGCAAATTAAAACTGCACTGAGGTGCATGCTTTCTGGGGGGAAAGCTATCCATCAGCAAAAAAAAATATGAGATGATCACAGACTGTTTAGGCTGTGGGGAAGCAAGCACTCTAACATATTGCTGATTGTGAGCCACCATTTATAAAAGCAAAAGGTTCTATTAAAACTCAACTATCCATCAATAGGAGATGCTTAAATACAGTGAAATCATACCAAATAAGAAAATGTCTTATGTACTGATATGAAAAGATCTCCAAAATATATCATTAAACAAAGCAATCTGTATAAGAGTTTATATAATATGCTACCTTTTGTATCTGCAAGGATGAAAAATAACATACATTACCTTGCATTTGCATACAGAAACACTGAAGACAAACTTAATAAATTAATTTAGTAAGATAAAAGGAAAGAAAAAATGGTGGAGATGAGCCTAAAGAAACAAAATTTTTCATTGTATGCCTTTTTACACTGTATTTTTAAAACATTGAGGTATTATCTATTTTAAAGAGAAACTTCTCTTACTATTTTTGTTTTCCAATGTTTTTGAAAATAGAATTAAGATGACTCCTGTTCTCAGCCTTTCTTTATAGAAAAAGTTCTTCATAAAGTATAACAGCTGTAATTCTCTAGTATAATTTAATCATTATCCTACGATTGTATACAGTTCTAATTTTTCAGAGTTATGAATAATACTGAAGTAAACATATCCAAGTACAAATTATTTTTCTCATTTGGATTATGTTGTAACAAAATTACTTGGGCAAACTAAAATTTTTGAAGGTGTTTGACATAAGCTGCCTTAATATATTTCAGAAACACTAATAATATCTAACATACTATATATCCTATATATTCTATGTATAATGGATTATCTCATTTAGTCTTCACAACCCCGTGAGGGAAGTACTATATTTATACCCATTTTACAGATGGAAAATGAAGGTTCAGAGAGATTGGATAATTTGATGAAGTCACATAAGGACGTGGTAGAATTGCAATTGAAACTGAGATACTACTGCTTCAGAGCCTGTGCTCTAACCATACTAGAGCTTCCATTTTCACCAGTAATATAAAAATACCCACTTCACTGAGATCTCACTGACATGAAGTGTTCTTTCCATCTAGATGTGTATGCACATGGCTTCTAATTGTATTGATTTGCATTTCCTTAACTACTTGTGAAGCTGAACATTTTCATTTCTATACGAGTCTTATAGGTATAAAAATGACATCTATGTTAAAATGGCATTCTGTAATAAGTATTGTAATAATTCAGAAAAGTTAATTATTAATAATATACATTTGAAAGACTAGTTTAGCCATAACTACATGCCATAGCAACATTTTACCCAAATGTACGGTTTACGTGTAAACATTTAGTTTTTGTGTTGATAACCTAATAAAGTAGAAAAGCTCCAGCCATCTACCTCATTATCTCCTCTCGGTCGCCATGACTCGCACGTTCTGCCTGTATCTTCTGTCTTAATCTATTAATTTCTTTGTCTAGCGTTGATGCCGATTTTTGTACTTCTATACGCTCTGGGCAGATTTGTCTTGCTTGTGACATTTTCTCCTAAGATAAAAGATGTTTAATAACTTTAAAACTCTTCTTTGATATAACAATTCATTGTACCGCTCGTGCCAAAATTTTCAAGGTCAAATCCTAAACTTATATTTACAAACTATATTTTAATTACACTTAGTATCAGTGTTATTTCTCTGAGCTTTATATTGTGAATATAGTCCAGAGTCATTATACATCTTCAAGAGAAAACTACATTACTATGCACAACTTTAATAATTTATAAAACCTCCATAACTTCCTGTGAAACAAATTTCAAGCAGCAGTTATGAAAAGTTTGGCACCCAGGGTGCTGAGGTCAGACATAGCTTTGTGTGTTTTAGGATGGACTCCAAACACCAAATAGTATTAAAAACACAAATAATAAGACCCTCATGTTAGTAAAATATTTAAAAACCTCAAAGCACTTTTACACATAGTGCTTATTTTACATTCACAGTTTTCCACATAAGTCTTGAACGAGTAAGGCAATGGGTTACAGAGTTGAAATCGTTTCCTAAGACAACGTTGGAATCCATCTCCTCTAGGTTAGACCAAAGTTGCCCTGGACTTATTCTCCTCCAAAAGCAGGGCTGCGGCTCACAGCTATTGCGAGGGTGTCTAGTAAGTAGGAGCTGAATCCCAGCCCAGCTAGTCAGAGGCAGGGATGACTTTTTCTGACCTAAAGCTGCTATCTACTTGCCAGGCTAGGCATGTAAGGAGCTAAAAGAGCTGTATTAGCTGAGAAGGAGTGCCATTTTCCAAACCCCTCAGAGGCACCAGGTAGGCCCTCCAGTCCTGCATACAGGCCTCTTCATGTTGGCCTATGAAGGCCCACACTCTGAGTCCCTAACCCTATTCCTCTTGAGTCACCAAATCAGCTGTTACTCTATACAAGAAACAGACAGTCATTAGACAACTTATCTACGTTTGGAAACATGACATTAAGAAACATGTGCTTTAAAGATCATGATTAAGGTCATATGCAAAAACATAAAAGGGAAATGATGGGTAACCTCTAGTTCTTTTTCTTTCATATTCAGTTCTCGTTTCTTTTTATTTAACGTGTCCAAGTGCTCTTTTTGTTTTTCCTCATAATGCCGCTTCCCTCGCTTTTGGTTATCCACTTCAGCATCAGCAAGGTTTAATTCATCCTGTTTGAAGAAAGCCAAAATAATCTCTGAAGGAAAGATAGTTTTTCAAAAATTATCAGTCTAGCTATAACACTAATTGACAACTCCATCAAGCAGATGGGATTATGTTGCTTCAAGACGTGTTAGAGTTCATATCCAGATGTGTCTGAACGGAATTGAGCAGTTTCCCAAAATTAAGCAGTCACATAATTATATTCAAATTCTTATGTGAAGTCTCCATATATTATGGCTCTTTGAACTTTATTCGGGTAAACAAGATAGTTTTGTGGGAAGTCACATTCGCCTGAAAAGACTTAACGGAGGCATAGCTTGGTGAAAGATTTTAGAAGATGATCTATGCACATAGCCATTAATTATGGCAGCTTTCTCAAACAACAGTCTACAAATTCACTGCATTACTGTCAATCTGGAAATTTTACAAAATATGTAGATTTCCAGACTTCACTTGTGGAGAATTTATTTTAGGTCTGGAATACCTTAATCTCAATTTTTAAAATGGCCTTTGATTTAAAAAACACCAGAATAAGTTTAGACCATCAGAGAGTTTGTTTATTTGGTTTGATATCCAGAGACCTGTACACAAATATCTAGAGCAGCTTTATCTGTAACAGCCCTAAACTAGAAACCCATATGTCCATCAATAGGTAGATGAGTAAGCAAAGTGTGGTGTATCAAACACAATGGATACTACTCGGCAATAAAAATGAATTACTGTTTCAAGTAAAAATATGGACGAATACCATAATCCAAAAGAACAACTTGGACTGGCCGAGTGGCTCAGCTGGTTAAGAGCTCGCTCAAGAGTTTGAGCTCTGAGCAACAGCGGTTCGAGTCCAGCCCGAGCTGAGCAGCCGCTGAGCTGCCAACAGGTGGCAGGATGGCTCAGCTAAAAAGAATAACTTCTATTCACTCACTTTTTCTTTCAAAATATAAATAGTGTATACATTATGTGCTAGACAGTGTGTGTCAGGTTCTGAGAAAGGCCAAACCAAAAAAAAGCAAAAGTACATAACACGTGATTCCATTATACATGATTCTAGACTACAGTAAAAGCAAGTGGACTGAAGGGTGTTGGAAACAAAGGGCGGGACTAGGGAGAGAGATAACAAAGGGGCATGAGGAAACTTTTAAGCATAAAAGATATGTTCCTTTTTCTAACTGTGTAGTTTCACAGGTGTATACATGTCAAAATTTATCAAATCATACACTTATATGGGTATTTACTGTACATCAATTATATCTCAATAAAACTGTTTTAAAAAGGCTCTTGACTTAAGAACTGCCAAATTAAATTTTAGTTCATCTGTTCGTTTGTTTTTTGGGCCCAGCACTGGCCATTTACAACGTGATTATCACGTTCAGCCTCAAGGGTTTACAGTTATAAACAGAGAAAGAAACAAACACAAACCAGAACAGCAATAAGAGCGCCATGAAAGACAGAATATATGGGGACAACCCAGAAAGGAAACGAACGTGCGAGGCATCTACATGTGAAAAACGTTCACCTCAGGTAACAGAGGGCGCAGGCTACTTCCTAACCTAAGAAATCAAGTCATCGCATCGCGTTCATACGGCTAGAAATGACTGTCACCCATGGCAGATGTCTGACAATACACAGCTTTTATAAAAGAGTTCTATTAACAATGAAAACATTGTTACACGAGGGCTGGAGGTACGCTGTTCCTTTACTTCAAACAGAATAAAATAAAATGGGTGCAATTTATGTCGTAGGAGACATTACAATTCAAAATTGGAATTGCTTCTGAAATAGAATGGTTGTTTTCCAAAAGCAGAACTAAGTTTTCTAATCATTTTTGGAAGAAAGTGTCAAAATAAATAGGCCCACATTCGCTGCAGGCAACCAATTCAGCTTCAGGGAGCCAAAGGGGCGAATTACATCAGGACACATCTGTGCTGGTCCATCTTCCCTCCTAGCAACTCTGGATTAAGAAAAGACGTAAACTGGAAAGTAATATTAAAAGAACTATAGATGTTAGTATACCTTTCTCCACATTTATCATGGCTATTTGATTTGTCCTTGTATATTTAATACATTTATGTCCTGGATACCATCAAATTTAAAACTAAAAGGAAAGCAAGAGAGTATTTCATTTAATTTCATTTTATTGATGGTGAAATGGAGACCTAGAGGTATTGAAGCCCAGTTAATGACATTCATCCTGGTTTCGGGGTGAGGACTAGGATGGATTAGGTCTAAAATTAAACTTTGATGTAGCCTAAACCTGTAGCATTTCTAACCTTTAAGAAGTAACAGCCCCTCCCCGCTCAAAACAGTTACAGCCTTTGAAAAACAGGCTGAAATGCTAGAAGGAACAGAATTATTGAAAAATGTTATTGTCTTGGATGCCTAAATAACCAATTTTTGTTAGAGCCAGTGGATAAATTTTCACATGTATGTATTACTGTCACTTGTTTTATATAAACCTACATTAATTATGAGGTTTTAAAACACTATAAAACATTAAATCTTGGCATTTTAAAAACCAGTCGCCCTCGATCCAAATAAACTCCCATTATCTGTATTAGAAACTGAGAGCCCGTCCCACTCCAATAATGAAGACCTCTATTTCTGTAGGCTCAAGGTCACCTTCTCTGTGCAACAAATTTGCAACTAAAGCAATCAGTTTGCAGTGTAAATCAAAATAAACTGTTCAAAGTGAGAAAGATATTCTTTCTGCCAAAATTTCAACGATTACGTATTTAAACACGCCTCTGTCACAAAATGAACAAACGTCCCTACCAAAAAACAGATTATCTCTGGAAGCTGCTAATATGCAAGGATTGTGGTTTCTCAGGGATTATTTTGATAGCCAAATCCTCCTGTTCCTATTGTTACTGATAGTTAGTGTGATGTGACATTGGGAAGGGATACCTCTTGGCTACCGGCTGGTTGCATGCAGGTTTACTAAAGGACTCACCTCCTAGCTTTCGTTATTTGCAGCCAAGGCAAAGAGCTAAGACCAAGAATTCTCACTGCCTTCTGCCCATATTTTCTGCTCTTGAACTTATTTATGGACTCCCAATTCCAGGAGTTGCTTTAGCTTAGAGGTCCCTAAAAGAACAGAACACAGCTTATTCTTCATCTTTTCTTGTTTTTAATTTTAAGCTGTCTGGGATAAATCATTTAGGTGCTAATCTTTATTGTTTTCGTATACTTCATCATTTTGATTTTGTCCCCCTATTCAACCTTTTACCCATGAAAAAAATTCTTTTACTCTTACCTTTGCCGTATTTTTACTGCTCAAATTCCAGAATTCTGAATTCTACTGGTCTAGCCTTGACAACTTTAACATTAATTTATTTTATTCTTTCTTATTCTATTTTCTTTTAAAAACTAGTTTTGTCTCCCTTTTTTTAATCTACACTTTTTGTCTTTTTTTATTAAAAATCTTATTTCCTGTACTACTTTCTTGTCTTTCTCAGCAGTATCTTTAATAATTTTTCCTTCCTCACAACTTTAATATTTAACTTATATATTCTTCTTAATCAATTATCAATTTATTCTCCCATTTTTTATTCTTATCTGAAATAAAAAACAATTAAACCACCCTGAGCTGTAACGGCAGGCAGCAACTTCAGTTCTATGGACAACTACAGAGAAACCCACCACAAAGCAAGGGAAGCTGTTTCTACCCAGTCCCTCCTCTAACTTCCTTTCATACTCTCTGAACCACCTATTATGGTTTTTAAATTTTCAGTAAACATACATATAGTAAAATTTATATGAATGCACATTCTTTTAAATTTTAACAATATCTAAATACATTTTACTTCACAGGGGTAATTAATTTCCTGCAAAAAAAAGGGGTACATTAGAGTGATATCATAACATAACCCCCTCCTCCTTCTCAGGGTCTTATAAATACAATTTGGAGTTCTGAGAACCACTGAGCTACTTATAAAAGTGATAATGACTAGCTATTGATAACTAAGCTAATAAACAACTTGGGGAAATATATACAATTTAACGGTTGAATAATTTTATTTCCCTAAATTTGATTTCAAAAAGCATGTGTTTAAAAAAAAAAATCCATTGAATTCAGGCTGATTCCTGAATTGGGACACTCCAACAAACAGGAATTGGATAGCACTTTATTTCAAGTTGGTTTTTATATCAACTAATGCTTGAGTTACTGAAGGAAACGGGGGGACAACAGAACAGGCAAACACAGAAACACGACAGACACACAAGATGTCCCTGGCTCTAGTTCTAAAAAAGGAAAGAAAAAAAAAATCACAAAATAAAGAGAAACAGAAATTTGGCCATTTATTCTCCTAAAGGCACGAGGAGTATTTGACTCTAATTGATCTAATGATAAAAATTTGGTTTACATTTAACCATAAATTCTATTAGGGCAATAGCTAGTGAGTACACTGTTGATATAACACTAAAACATAAGCTATGTATATAATAGAGTAACAATAATATATACCTTAAGTGGATCTGCTAGCTCTGACAGCTGGTTAATTTTCGATTTAATTGCATCATACTTGTTTTCTGCTTCTATTTTCAGGCTTTTCAGATACTCCATAGTTCCTTTTTGTTGTCCCATGTTTTCCTCAACCATTTTCATTTTTATTTTATTTTCTTGAGCTTCATCTTCCTGGTTACATTTACAGAGCATATAGATTTAATTAAAATACTTATTTCATCAGATAGAAAAACAGTACAAAGAATCCTGAGAGAGGAGAAACTACAAGCTATAGGCAAATCAGATGAAAGACAAATAGAACACTAGGATATTTTCATACCCATCATCATAAATTAGGAAATAGAAGAAAAGAGGTTCAAAAATCAGAAGGGATGACATTTAGGACACAAGTTGAACTATATTGTGTTGAACTATATTGGTCATCATCAAAAGGAATAACTCGATCTACTCACTTTTCTTTCAAAATGTAGTACATATAAATATCTACCTTGTGCCACAGTGTGGTAGATGCTAAGTTGGCAAAAAAAAAAAAACCAAGACATGGCCCATATCTTTAAAAAACACAGTCTACCAATAAAAGGAATTAAAGCAAAAAAATAAAAAGCAGAGAACAAGATTGCTAATAAAACAATGAAGGCAAATTCTCATTCAAGTTCCACTGGTGCAGGGACTTGATCCGTGTGTTCATTGCTGTATCCCCTAGAACTTAATATGCTGCCTGGTATAGTACAGACAATAATATTCACTCATTTTAACAAGACTCTACAACCTATCTAAGCCACTGCTTACTGTAACTCAGAAAAGCTAAGTTGAATGTCATAAACAATTGCCTGAAAAAAAATTAAAATAGAGTAGCAAATACACGGTGAATTATAATAAAAACCTTTTACTTGGAAAAAAGAAACAATGCATTGAGGCCAACTACAACTGACTAAAAGATAGCCATTAATATTGATAATAATTAAGCCTGAAAAATGCTATGCTAGGCAGTTTGGTTTAAAATGCCACTGTTTAAGAGTGCAGTTAAGCTTTGATAAGGTTTTATTTCACGTAGCAGAAGACAAAAGCCATGATTATGCATGTAAGTTATATGTGCAAAATATTCAGAAATATAAAGGTCATTCATCAGGTAGTTTCTACCTTATTTGTAAATGGAAAAAGCAATCATAAAAGGGAGCCTCAATTAAAAGGGTAAAAAAATAAAAAATAAAAAAAATAAAGCTGAGAGTAGATGCTATTAACCTAAATGACACTTGAGTACTTTAAAACATTAAATTTAAATTGAGGAAAAGAATCTTACCAAGGTTGCAATATCTACAGACTGGTGTTCTTCTATATTCTCAAGTTCCCGAATTTCGGAAATACATTTTCTTATTTTTATCTGCAAGAAAAGTATTTAGATTTCAGTAACATAAAAATAAATTAAAAAATAAAAATAAACACCCTGGAAAAGGAAGTTCTACTCTACTTTCAAGAACTGCAGTATTGTTTATTTTCTACAGTTCATGAAAGAGACACATTAATGTTAAATGAAGCAAATGAAGTTATAAAGTCTGCCATGATCACCTTTATAGCTAATCCATTCCCAAGCAAAAGAGATGTAAGTACTCCATCTTAACATTTAAAATGATGACTATGTTGAATCCATGGAGAAAATGATTTTCTAAAACATCCAGATTCGAGTTATGGAAAGATTACTCTAATCTAGTGGTTTTCAAAGTACAATTCAAGAGCCTCCCAAGTGTCTCTGAAACTCTTTTAGGGGGTTCATGAGGTCAAAACTATTCTCATAAAAATACTAAGACATTATTCACCATTTTTACTATCATTTTCTCATGAGTCTACAGGAGGTTTACAACTCTATGATATGTAATATTGCAACGAATCAATTGCAAAAGCCAATACAATAATTTAGTTGAGTTTTATTAAGCCAGGTATCAGAGATTTACAAAAATATAAAACTGTCAATCTGGGGCTGGCTGAGTGGCTCGTTGGTTAAGAGTTGGCTTGGGAGTGCAAGCTCTGAGCAGCAGGGACGCCGGTTTGGATCCCACATGGGCCAGTGACGCTGCGCCCTCTACAGCTAAGATGGTGAACAACAGCTTGACCTGGAGCTAGGTTACCGTGAGTCGCCGGCGACAGCATGGCTGCAGTGAGGCTGCCATAAGCTACCGTGTATGGCCGGCAGCCGGTGTAAGCTGCCGTGAGCCACTGTCTAATGGCCGGAGACCGATTCATCTCAGCCAGGAAGAGCGCAATGATCACAATACCAACATGGGCCAGTGAAGCGACGTCCTCCACAACTAGACTGAAGAACAAAAGGACAGCAACTTGCCTGTTCCCCTACCCCGATTCCCCAACGCTGTTCCCTCTCCCAATTCCCTAATAAAAATCTTTAAAAAAAAAAAGTCCATCTTTTCATTAAATAGTTTTGGTTTTGGAAAACAGTTATTTTTCATAAAAATGTTAGGTATGTTAACACGAGTTTATTATTTTTAAACGCCCTAATAAATATTCTTAAAGTTTGTAAATACTGATCAATAAAACCCACATATGTGTGAAAGGTCTTTTAAGACTGTAAAGGAACTTGAGGCCAAAAAGTCTGAGAACTACTCCTCTAACTAAATGCATGGTAAAATTTTAAAATTAACCTGCAAGTGATAAGATGAGAAAAACAAAATGATGTATATTTTTTTGTACCTTTAACTCTTTATAATGTAGCTGGCACTGTCTAAGATATTCCTCATTGCGTTTAGTATCCTTTTCCAGGGCAGACAAGTGTTGCTGAAGACTTAATATCTGGGCCTTCTTATTTTCAACCTCATTCTCCAAGTCGCTTGATAGAGAGGATAAAAAATACTTTAAATATATTTCTGAATATTACAAATACTTTAGATCTTTACAAAGAAGAGCTCATTTTTAATAGCTTATTTGCAAAACCCTATTCAATTAAACCAGGTCTATATTCCTACAAGTTATTAGTAACATGAAAATACAGATTTCAAAAAAAACCCATCTAAACTGCAGTCAAATTTTACTTATTTCATTAGTAAGTATTTATGGTATGATTTCCGTGTGGCAGGCATTGTGCACAGAAGTAGGTAGAGGTGGAAACAGAATTAAGACATGAAAGAATCAAACAAAAAGGAAAAAAAAATCAGGAAATAAACCATAACATTAAAATGTGAACCGGACACTCTATGTCTGTTTTGCCACAGAACGTAGGAGTGATCTGGGAGAAACGACAACTGAATTATATTCTGGAGAGTTTTCAGTAGCTGGACCAACTAGAGGAGAGGATGGGAAGAAATGCACAAAGGCACAGATGGATGAAAAGATAGAATTAATAGTCTGCAACACTTACTGATGGTGAATAAACGCTATGAATACATGGTAAATGAAAGGGAGGGAGACGAGGACAATGAAAAGAGATGGAGGATAAAGTAAGCGGATGCCAAAGCCATAAAGGGACTCCATGCCAGCCGAGTCACTGTCTTCAGAAGGAGTCTTTTCCTGCCTCATTGACCCAAGTAGCTGATTCCCAAAGTTGTGTGCCTAGTGGAGGAAAACCACCTTTGCAGTTAATAAAAACGTCTCTGTTGGGAGTGTATGCCATATTTCAATAAGTTGCATATTTTCCCACATTTTAACATCTCTGAAATCATCTTTCAGTCCATGGTTCAATTAGCAGCATTTTTTTCTTTTTTATGTGTACATAAAATAATACAGCACCTTAAATTTGTCCTACCATGCTGGAATTCTCAAAATTAAGGAAAAAATATCAATAAATGTTAGCTGAACAAATGATACATGAATGATAAACATGAGGAAAGGAGAAAAATTGTGGTATTTCTGGTAAAAATGGTGCCAGATGCAAAAATTTAAGACAGCTCCTCAAGATTTAAAGAGAAATGTTTATTTTATCATAAAGAAATCTATACCTTTATTAACGAACAGTAATTCTGCTAAAAACAACAAAAAAATTAGCAAGTAAACAAACTTTGAAACTTAACAGTCTAAACCAAAAATAAAAACCAACAAAATGAGCACAGATGATATTCTGTGGCTAAACATTTTTTCTGACTTTTTTAGAATAAATTTAAAGAACAAACATAATTTATATAAACAAAATTGCTAAATTTTACAACAAAATTGCTAAATTTTACAACTTCCTTTAGGACAACTTCTGTTACATATTTTCATATAGTGTTCCTCCTTTGTTTTTAATTACTTTTTACATGGAGAAAGAACATGTGCTACCTAATGAAATATGTATGAAAGCTGAGCTCAGTAAGTGTGAGTTGTGGAGGATGAATGCATTTTCCGTTCAGTGAGCAGCTTATCGAATTGTATACTCCTCACTCTCTAGCCCTTACTCTGATGTATTTGTCTCCATGACACTTGACCTTGATCTAGTTAGTATTCGTTTATAGTCTACCTCCTCATTAATATAAAAGCTCTAGGAGAGAGCAATTTTTTGTATTTTGTATCCTGCTGCAAAATACAGCAGGGCCTGACACATTAGGTACTCATCCATATCTGTCTTAAAGAACATAAAAGAATAAAATCTGAGAAACATACTTTCAGAAAATTATATTAAAATGTTACAGTATTTTGACAATCCAAAAATTCAGATAATTTTTTGTGATCTTGTATAAAGCAGTAACTACACTGGTAATTAATTATTCTGAGAGCTTACTCACACATTTCTTTTGCCCCAGATGAGTACTTTCATAATAGGAAACCACATTGGGACAATAAAACCAAGGCAGTACCTATTGTTACGACTTGAAACCCTTTGTCTATCAAGAAACCACTCTGTGCATTATGTAAAAGAAATGATAATCTCTTCACTGACATTCCCGAGCCATTTTACATCAATTGAAATCTGTCAGTGAAGGGATGATGAGGGTATAGAGAAGTGTTCTTCAAATACGCAAGAATGAGGGGAAATTGGGGAATCTTTCTAGAGTCTTTTGGCAACCACTATTAAATAATCGATTTACATAATAAAATAAAACTTAAAAATTAAATAATCTATTTTAATAAATATTAAAGCTATTTAATAAGTATTAAAAGATTAGCAATTGTTTAAAATTATTCAACAGTTAAAACTGAACCATAAATTGTATATTAATAAACCAATAAGTCATTTGGCAATAGCCATTAAATAATTTTAAAATGCATAACCTTTGACTAAGCATTTTCACCACTAACAATTTAAGCTATGCATACACTTTCGAAAATCTGCCAAGATACACGTGTGTACTTATTGCAGCACTGTCATAATAGGAGAAAATGACAACCCCTATGTCCACCAGTTGGGACCTGGATAAGCAGATTATAGTACAGCCATACTGAGAGGTAGTTCTAAACGTGCTGACATAAAACGATTTCCATGATGTAACACTGAGAGAAAAAAAGCAAGATATAGAAACCATATGCGTAATACAGAGCACAGTATGGATGAACCTTTAAGACATTATACCAAGTGGAAGCAGCCAGACGCAAAGGTTGCATGATTCCATTTATCTGAAACATCCAGAATAGACTAAGCCATACAGACAAATCTGAAAGTAGGTTAGTGATTGCCAGAGGCTGGGGGCAGGGGAAAATGGGGAATAACGGCTAATGGGTATGATTTTCATTCCGGTGTGATAAAAATGTTCAGTAATTAGACAACAATGATAGTTGCACAACCTTGTGAATATAATTAAAATTTCTAATTGTACTCTTTAAAATAGAGTGAATTTTATGGCATGTGAATTATTACCTCAGTTTAAAAGATCTTATGTATGTGGTACAATATATAAACTGTTCTGGAAATATATAAGAAACTGTTACACTATTCCCCTACTTTTGAAAGAGGTATAACAGCAACGGGTTTCACCTTTCATTGTATACTTTTCTATATTGTGTGAATTTCCTCCCCAAATGCATATATTACATTTAATTATTTAAAAAAATATAGCAATACAGACTATGGAGAAATGGGATTATGTATGAGCTCCTTTTGTTTTCCAATTTATAGTTTTCTGTATTTAAAAAACACTAATGAATTTTTTTAACTTCCAAATATCATAGTGGTTCAGATCCAAACAGAAGACAAAGTCATTTAAATATCATCAGAACTTGGTATATTTTCAATAGATAAAATTTACCAGTGTGGGAAACAATTTTTTAAAAACTGATATTCACCTGGCTTTTAAGACAAAAGCTTTGTCCATTACACATTAACAGCTAAAAATGAAGCCAAATATCGATGGCGATGTAAATTTTGAATCCTTACTACTAAAATGCTAGAATCTGAGGTCCTGATTATGCTGCTGAGATACACTTATAATCTTTTCCACTATAATACACTTCAAAAAAAACCCTTTTTTTTTTAAGACTTAAGATACAAATGCAGGAGGTATTTTTGTTGAAAGTAGACGTGTGAATTACACAGGGTAACACTACCATGATACTGCTTGTACATTTACACTCACGTTTGCTTGAATATCATATAATAGAAAGGCCTGATTTAAATGTCAAGGCTCTAGGGACAAAAATGTATCACTCTACTGGTCACTTTTATAGAGGCACATTTACACATTTACATGAACTTTCATCTCTCCTATCAGAAAGATTCAGTGTCAATTTAAAATGTGTGGCTGTCACAACACCAATATCCACTATGTTTATCTTCCTGTATGCTGCTGTCATAAAATGACTAATATTATTTGAAGAGATCTATTTCAACCAAACTCTCATTTCCCCAAGATATATAAGTCATTTAGAATACTTTCACTTTTATTCAATTTTCCTAGGTATTTCTTTTACGTAAGTCCAAGTTTTTCTACTTAAGGTCTTCTAGGTCTTAATTCAGTTCCAACCCATCAATTCATCAAATGAATTAATCTGGCTGGAAAATCATAGTTTTTTTTCATACAAAAAAATTCTTTTTGCGAGCTTGGGATCTCATTAAGTATGCTTATTTGTTCTTCATTCAACTTCTCAGTCTCGCTCCTCTAGCAGCTGTATTCCTAGGCATGTGTTCCGAATGTGCCTGTTGATCTACAGAATGGTGCAAGTCAACCTACCAGTGAGAGACCTAATACAGAACTTGAGCCAGAATGTAAACCAGCACCCTTGTACTCTCACTGAGAAAAAGGAGCAGAGCTAAACAACCGGCACATTTATCATGGGGTCAGCAAGAGGGAGGGAGCTAATTCACATTCTGAGTGAAGAATTACCTGTCTCCTTATCTCCCTTCAGACACGTAATTAGCAATGTGCAGATCAGCTGGTCACGGGAACACACTTTGTGTTCTTTGCCCAGAATACTGTTGTCAAACTGGTGATGGAAAAATAACCGTCAACCTAGAATTCTACAGCCTGCTAAACGATCTTTTAAAACCAAACAGATCACTCACAATCCTTCACTGATATAACTACTAATAGAGCAATATGAAAGGAACTGAACCCCAAAGGAAACAGTGGAAATGATATAGCAAAGCTACACTGGACACCAACCTTATTTCCGAATCCAGATCTCTGCTTAGGAATTTAGGTCTTGTATATTCAGATGAGTAATAACGTCCTGCAAAAACCTGGTCACCATCAGCAGTAAAAGCTTCTCTACAATTCTTGGGGGGCTTTTGGGACTGCATTACGGCACGAGCTACAGAATTACTCTAAAGAAACAGCAGAAAAAATACAATTTCTTAAGTTATGCCAAAGCATCTTTGATGCACACAATTTCAAAATAATGACAGGTATGCCATTATTTTAAGATTCAAGTATTTTTATTTAAACATTCAAGTAAAATAATTCCACAAAGTTAAATAAAGGAATTTGAAAAACAACTTTCAAGATTCAAAGAATTAAAACTATTAAGTCAGTAAACAAAGTTTTATGACAAACCAGTATACTTTATTTTTAAATTCTAATATTGCTATCCACTTAAAATTAAAAATTATTTTAAGGAACGTTTCACATGAACATATTTACTTTAATCCAGTTCATACAAATCTTGTTTTTAATGACTTTACATCCTAGAAATGATGCAAGTGAAGTGCAAATTCCAATAAAGATTAATATACTGAGTTTGGTTGGGGAAGCCTGGAAATATTTAAGCCCTGAAATAAGTAAAACAGGAATCATGCTTATTAATGAAGGTCTAGTCAACCTCTCTGGGGAAAGACCTTTACAACAGAACGTTGTTACATATTTTCTTTCAAGTATCCTTCTAACACATGAGAGCCAAGCCCACAAATAATTACAATATGAACTTGAAATATGTATATACATTTGGATGACCTATACCATTACTTCTCAGTTTCCATTAATAAGAAAGACAGACTCTATTATGTTTGTCTTGGTTACAGATTTGTTTTGAATTTCCTTGTTCCGTCTCAGCAAATTTATGCCAGGAAGATGAAACACAATATGGTGATCTAATCCAGCAAGAATATAAAAATACATATACAGATTAAAAGTATTGATTTTAGAGCGCTCAAAGTTAAGAAAATAAATTCATAAAATATCAAGTAAAGTACTTGTTTAAAAAGTAGAGTGATATGTATTTGTAAGGGTAAATAAAAAATCGATTTGGCAGCCAATCAAGAATGAAAAAAAAAATTTATACCTCCATGCATCAAAAAAATATATATTTTTAAAATTATTTTAAGAATAGTTGAAAGTTATAAGTTTCCGTAGGGCAGAAAACACACAAACCGCCAGCTTTATAGTATTCTACAGATCTTCCTATAAGGCAAAAGTACAATGATGAAATACCAACAACTCTATGATATAGGAGGGGAACAGGAATTCATTGTATATAACCAACTTCAGTTTTGAGAATTTTTAAGTAACGTAAACTACAGCAAACATCTGGTCTTACTTTGATTAGGAGCACTGTCTCTATGCTTCTCATGTCAATCAGGCTATTTGCAACAACTGCATTATCTATTTCTAAAGCTGTCAGAACTGTTGGGTACTCGGGATGATAGGCAGTTCTAGAAGACAAAAACACACATGGATTAACTTAACAAACTTTAATTATATACAGATATACGTATATATTGATATATTAATGGGTGAGTAGATAGATAACAATACAGCAATGAAAAAATCTAATAACATTTGAAAACATCTGATTAGGTGTACTTTATTTTATTTACCTAGCAAACCAGGAATCAAAGCTAGAAATTAAAATAAGGTCAAATTCGGGCCGGCCGAGTAGCACGCTGGTTAAGAGCTGGCTTGGGATGCCAGCTCTGAGCAGCAGGTCCCTGGTTCAGATCCCACATTAGGGCCAGTGACGCTGCACCCTCTACAGCTAAGATGATGAGTCGTGAGTTGCCGGCGATGGTGTAGGCTGCAGTGCGCTGCCGTGAGCTACCGTGAGTGGCGAGCAGCCAGCAAGAGATGCCAAGAGCTGCTGTGGAGCGGCTGTCTAGTGGCCGGCGACCGATCTGCCGGGAAGAGCGCAATGATGATACCAACATGGGCCAGTGAAGCAGCGTCCTCCACAACTAGACTGAAGAACAAAAGGACAGCAACTTGTCTGTTCCCTTTCCCCAATTCCCTAATAAAATCTTTTAAAAAAAAGGTCAAATTCTCATGCAGACAAAGTAAACACTTTACTCTTAACTCCCAAATCCTTATTTCTAGTCTAAAAGTTGAAAATCAACAATTCCAAGAGGACTTATCTGCTTTTGACAAATCCACTTTTTTCTTATCCTTCTCCTATATCAGTTGATGGCACATCTGTAAGGCAGTCAACTCCAGCCAGAAGCCTAGCAGTCATCCTCAATTCTTCCTTCTTTTACGTTCAAGTAACAAGTGTTATTGATTTTGCCCTAAATATCTCTTTTACTCTATTCCTATCTATAATGCAAAGGCTACTTTTTGAAGAATAATTTATAATGTTATGCCTCCATGCATTCTGCACATAAAATTCTATTTGCCCAGAAGGCAATTAACAAGCTCATCAGTAAGAAGGCTAATCTCTTTTCCTGTCTTCTCTGATTTCTGCCCTAACCTATGTCCTAACATTTAATGACTCCCTCATCTGAACCACATGTGTATCTTTTGATACAATTTATCAAAGCTGACAAAAAATAAATTAGAAAATGTAGATGTTTTTTAAAGTGGCTATCTCGCCAGCAGCTAGCCCAGAGGTGAGTTTAGTGACTGTGCCTTGAAGTTTGTGAGGGTCACCAGAGAAAACAGAGAGCTCTATATGGAACCTGCGAAGGCCCGTGAAGGATGGTGCCCACACAGTTCCTCAGGACCTCCCTCTTCATTTGGCTTGGTCTGCATCATTTCTGTCATCAGACGAATTTCTAAGCCACACTCCATCTGTCTCATTGTACTTTCGTCTCCCACAAAGGCACCAAGTAAGGACCTTGAGGGCAAGGAGGGTCTCCCTTATTTATCTATCTATCAGAAATTAAAGAAGTGGCTTGATGAAATTTTACAAAGCAGTAGTGCAGTTATGTTAAGGTAACAATCTGTTAATTCTTTCTCACGCTGCACATGATTAAGCAAACCCAGAAATAGTAGTTAATTACTGATGCCTCACCTGTGTCTTACATCATACATCTCATGCCGAAACTCAGATACTATTATCTGGGGCCGTGAGGTCCCTGGTAAGTAAAACTTTCTCATCAGCGCCTGCAGTACTCTTTCATCAGCATGGTTATGGCAGCAGTAGGCCTGCAGAAGGCTTTTCAAGCAAGACTCAATCGCCAGTGCAAGCTCAGGGTCCCGGAGATGAATGCAGGCTCCTAAAGTGAGACAAAATGACTTCTAAGGCCCATACATACTTACTGTGAAATATTCATGTAACTGTCTTTCTATATAGTTCATGATTTTAAAATATTTTCATAGAAGGCAGCTTAAATGACATTACAAATCTTACTTTAATTGAATGGGAAATTTCCACATATCCACTGAATATACTGGGCAGAAAACCCCCCAAACTCTGTGAAAAAAACTTTCCCACTCTAATGTAAACCAAGAGTGGTTTTTCTATGTACGTTTATAGTATTCCAGACTTTAATGGTGATTTGAAAATCAAGCCAAACCGTTTATGGAGTCTTTATTATTTTCTGTAAAACTGATTAATATTGGAACTTTAGAGTTAGAGAGGGAAAAAAATGCCTTCCTCATCGAAATGGATCCAGGCATAAAGGTACGTATCAGTTAAATAAAGAGACATTACTACAATACCTAACATAGTATGCACTACTGTACTTATACAGTAATATGGTACTTTACTAACAAAATATGTTTATATTTACAGCATAATTTTCGCCTAATGACATACAGAATTAGCAATAACTCTTTAGGAAAACTTTTGTTTTTTTAACATCATGCATATGTGGGGAGAATTACAATAAATAATCCCAGATTTTACAGTCAGAAGAGGACTGAGAAACAATGTTGTCCACCCAGAAACTATGAAAACGACAAGTCATTTTATAAAGTTACATAAAACTCAGGTCATGAGTGTCCTTTCAACTATATCTTGATGTCACTGGATTTTCCTACTGATCAATTCATTACATTCAAATTAGTTCATTTACTTATTCATTCAGGAAAAAATCAGAATCAGCTTATTCAACTCTATAATTTCTTTTCCTTTTCCTAAGTTCTCTTTCTTTTGACTATTTTATGCTTTAAAGACACAAAAGGAAAGTTACAAAGTTTGAGGTGATGCTTAGCACTATTTAAAATAAGTACAATTATAATCCACAGATAACCACAAAGCTCTCTGATAACAGAGTTTTAAAACTAGATTCAATAGACCCTCTCCCGAAAATAAGAACTTATTTCTAATGTTTATTATATCCTGACTAAATGTTGACAAATACCTAAGGGGCCTACAGGTTTGTAGGTAAATTGCCCACGTCTATAAGCCTCATCTATTGCTTCAAGAAGAGCTGGAACGTGAGGGCCAAATCGTTTCAGTCGATCAGTTTTACTATCTTTCAATTCTTTCAGTTGCCTCTGATTATAGCTCAGTGTATGCCTCACATCTAATTCTTCTCTCCTAAAAAATAAAAGTAGAAAAAATAGAACAGATAAGTGATACAGTTAGAGAAATAGTCAGCTTTTCCCCCTAATACCTGCACACCAGTGAATGACACATGACCCTAAAAACTAAAAGCAGATGTTTTTATCTAAAAATAATTGTGTTACTAGAGAAAAAACAGTCAGAAATCGTCAAACTTAACATGAAAAAAAAAGATGCAATACTGATGAGAACTAGAAATCCCAGAAGTTGTCCAACTCTACAAATGTAAGCGAAGTCTCGAAAATGTGATTTGGGGACATTTGAGATCTTGCTCCCCAGCATATGTCGTCAGTTTGACTCAAACTTTTACAGAAATTCCAAAAAGAAAAGAAGAAGTTATTTTAAAAGATCCCTTATTATGTAGAAGAAACAAACAAAAAAATTTTCTCTCTTGATGTAAAGAGCAAAACTGTATGCTTTCAAATAATTGAAAGAAAAAATCATGTAAGCATGTTGAAACTTACTTAATTCTACTGTATTCTTCTTTGTCCTTTTCTATGGCTTGCTGAAACTGATCGATCTCTTGATTGACTGAACTTTCTTGATCTTGTAAGGCCTTTACTTTCTCTTTTAACCAAGATATTTTTTTTTGCCTTTCCAACCGCTCAGGTTCCAAAGATTGATCGGCACTAACAGTCAATAATCCAAAGTGGAAAATGTTAAAAGAAAAACCTAACATTTAAAAAACATAAAGCACTGTGATAAAATTCCTTTAGCAATTAATACAGAAAATATAAAACTCCATTCCACCTACATTATTTTATTACAAAATGAGGTAACCATTAAAATTGCAAAGTAACTATGCTACCTTTTTTTTAGTTCTTCAATTCTTTTACAAAGCTGCTCATTATCTTTCTTTAACGCCTTACACTCATTTAGGGAACGGTTATATGAAACCTAAAACCAAAGAGACACACTTTAGTAAAGAAGAAGCAAATATCCCAGTCAAGTCCACTTTCGCCAAATCTTCAAACCAGAGCCTAATGCACGCAGGAATATACATATTTTTAAAATAAAGTACAGAGATGGCCCTTTGACACCATTACATTTTTTAAAGTCTAAAAGCAACACAGATTTCTACTCAATCACTAAACCTCTACTTTTAAAAATAAATGAACAGTATTTATATTTGATATGCAGTTATTAATATTCCAGGTTGGAAAATATCTCTCACCTCAGCTTCATTATAGGCCCTTTTCTTAGCAATAACATCTTCCTTCAATACCATACATTCTGGTGCTCGTGCATTTGTCTCATCGCTAATCTTTTCCAGTTTATCTTGAATATCCTTGTATTTTTTTTCTGCTTCATTAAGCTTCACCTTTAAGAAAATAACATTGTTGGAGTACATTTTAATTTTATTCAATAAAGAGAAAAATTTTTTAAATTATATATAGTGTACATCCCAATAGTAAACTTAATTTCATTCTGACTAAACTCAAGACATGAGGTAAGCAAACATAATTATATAAACTACTAAATTTAATAATTAAATTTTAACTCCACATTTCCAACAAAATGTGCCATCGTCTGGAATACAAAGATACAGTAACAACTGTCTTCAAGGTATACAATTAAAGAAAGACACAATTTAGCAGAGAAACAGGCGTGTAAATTGATCACCCAGTTTGAATACAGTGATGCTGAAGTAGGGCATGTCTGTTTATAGTTGTGGGAGCATAGAAAAAGTGCCCATAGTTCGCCAATAGAAGTCAGGTAACGCCTTCAAAGAACAAGTAGCATTTGAGCTGTGCTTGAAAGATTAATCAAAATGCACCAGAAGAAAAATTGGGGAAAGGTGTTAAGAGGCAGATGGAGAAGCACGTTAAAAAGGAATTAATAACCATTTTAGTAATTAAGAATCTTTCCAGAGCTTAAGCTGAGAAGGTGGTGGTGGAAGATGAGATGACAGGGTAGAAGGGCTTTGAATTCCAAGGATCAGCTTACAACTTAACCCTCTGACAACAGGGAGGCAAGATATGAACACATCTGTACATTAAACCACTTTGGAAACACTTGAAAGGCAGGGTGGAGGGAAAAATTGAAGGACATGTTCCAGGAAATAGTTAATATAATATTCTGAAGCAAAAATAATTAGGGGCCAACATGGGGCACTGACAATAGAATAGATTAGAAGGGACAAATATGAGAACAATTTAGATCAGGGATCAGCAAACTTTTTCTAGAAAGAGCCAAATAGCATATACTTCAGGATTTGTGAGTCATATTGTCTCTGTCACAGCTATTCAGCCAGACATGCTAAGTTTAAAGTGTTCGGAACATGTAAGTAAATAGGTGAAGACAGATATTTGAATCAAGTGCTCGGGATAAATATTTGAATACGAGATACAGATTACAGAATCGTCAATGTGTAGGATATTCAGGAAGCAGTATACAGAATGATAACAAAGTTCTATTATGAAAACATTGATAATATGTTTTTATAAGAATTGAAGTTGTTCTAGGTGTTATACAAACTAAGCATAATTTATATAGTTTCAGTGTTAAATTAGGTTAACACACCACTTTAGACACGATTTCTTCAGAAACCTTCTATTCAATAGTCATTCTATAATCAATAACCAAGCGTATATTATGTGAAAGGTTTTATGTGAGACATGGTGAGAAGGATATAAGATAGTCCTTACCCTCCAGAAATTTACTTCACGAAGTGTCCAAACACTTAAGTGGCACAAACAGCCACAGAACTAAGTGTCACCAAGTGTCAAGATCCTGCTTTTCACAGTTGAAAAAAAAGGTAATCATCTACTACTCAACTGGTCTCCATGTGTAGATAGGGGAATATCTAAAGAGGGAAGCAACTTAAGGTCTTTCCCTAGGACAAGTTAAGAAATGAGGCTGAGAAGAATTTGGTGAAAGTTTCAGAATATTCTCTCAGGCATGAAACTGTGAGCTGAGAGAAGTGAGTGGGATTAAACGTCCTGTTACTACCTGAAGGAGGAGTAAAACACCCAGCCCAGAGATCACTGAGTAAATGTCCTATCTTTAGCATTTCTGTTATTTTTACAGACTCATCTGTTACCTTTGATGGATTAAAGTCATTACCCTTAAAAGAAAAAGACATATCTGCTTATCTTGGGGGCAGATAGGAAACAGCAAGGTGGGAGGATCACATCCTATACGACAACCACACTTAGGGGCCCGAAGCTCCTAAGTAGCACAAGATACTAGGAGGTAAGTCAGCCAGGCTGGTACGGGAGGCTGCTCATCAGACAGGGCAGGCCAGGCGTGGGAGGAGTTCCCAAGTGGTGCTGGACACCCCTGTGCATACACTAACAAACCACGGAACTGTAAACTTCCCACGGGTGAAGGCAATGGCCTATGAATTCTACCTCAATAAAGCTGTTTAAAACAAGAATGGAAAGGTGAGTAGAATGAGTGGGTCTGCCATATGGTAAAAAAGGTTCATGTGGGAGGCCCCAACAGAAAATTACTGCCCTTATTTACCAACCAACGTCCACCTCCAGGCCTAAGTAGAGGACTCCGTGGTTTTCTTGAATCTTAAATAAATAACACAGTTTCCACCTGGGCTCTTAGGTGTCAGGTTGAAATTGACCTTGACAGACCTAACAACAACTTATCCCACCCACGTGGGTTCTGCCCATATGAAATCCTGCGATAATTCTGGGCCCTAAAAATCAGTTCCCTAAAAGTTCCATCAGCAATCTCGAGACACTGCGTTCAGTTCTGAAATCTTCTACTTCATGATACTTAGCTTTAATGCTATTCTAATTCACTATTATCCTAGTACTCCTTTACTCCTGAAGCCATTTTATGTTTCTGCTCCTTTGTAAAACCAAGAGTAGAAGCTTCAAGGTCCAGCATTTCCAGTTGGTAACTAAGTACCCTTGTCCACAGGCATGAATTTAGGAGTTCTGCATCACCAACCTCAACAGGTGACATCCAAAAGTGGACTCTTTCCTTAAAGAGAGTAGCTACAACAGTGCCTGAACAAAAGTTTAAGTCGGTTTCACTTGAGTAATAAATTCAAATACAGAGAAATATATAGGTTGACATTGCTACTATGGTAGGTCATAGATAGTCCAGTATCAGCAATCTCAAGACTCGACCTACTAAACCTGTATAAAAAAACGAATCACCTGCTGTTCTTCCATTTTCCTGTCAAGTCTGGCAGCACGATCTTCTCCAATTTTGACATTATCTCTGACAGCATTCAACTGTTTTTCAATTTCATTGACCTAAAAAGAAATAATACAGCAAACCACTAACTGTAACCAAATATAGTCTGTGTAATGCAAATATATGTGAATAAATAATTAAGTGAAAATTACCACTGCCCAAGCCATTTCACGTTTCAATTGTTCTAAATCAGTCTTCATTGTACTCAAACCAGCAATAATTTGAAAACGTTCTTCTTTCTCTAAACACTGGTGCTTCAGTTCAGCGAGTCGCTTTAAAAAAAAAAAGGATATATTTCTTATTAACACTGAAAAGACAAGACTTTTTACAAATGTATCTCTTCTGAATACACTGCTTAAACAAGTACTAAAATTTGCTAAAAAATGACTTCTTTAAGGTGAAAATAAAAATATTTTTGGTTCTTTGGTATACTTTTACTAGGTGTAATAATTTTGTTAATTTCTGCACTATAAAAATGGCCAAATACTCTTCAGATGAAGAATAAAGAAATAAAAGGGTTAAGACCACACAATATACACAAATCACAAAACTCAGAAAAGTCTCCTGTTTTCTCTCTATTCCATATATGATACACAGATTGATTTGTTCTTCTAGGCGAAGTATACCAGTACCCACTCCAAACATAACGAAAGGCCCAGAAGAAATTCATTTCTAAAAATCAAGTAAGGTATCATTCTTATCTAAGTTCTCTCTAAATAATTAATAAATAAAATCATCAAACAAATATTAAATATGACATCAAGCCAGTTTCTGAAGTGGCTCCTAGAGTTTATGTTCTGTACACCAGGGGAGACAGCCTCACCCCCCGTTCATGCTTACACATTCAACGAGGGCCTTACATTCTGCATCTTACTGTGTTCACCTACCCAAGGCACTTTCCCATTCTCTGGGGTTATTTCAATCCTTTATTCTTCTCTTCAAACCTCATAACTCCCCGTCACGCTATGCCCTCATTTTTACCCTGCCTCCTCCTTCAGAGAATTTAGTAGCCATTAGAGAGACATGCACTCCAACTTCCAACAACCTTATTTATAAATCTAAAGCCGTCATCTCTTCCTTCGGCTACAAAGAGGTGGCTTCATTATATTTACGGAAGTCCAGTCCTTATCTCCTACCTGAATTCTGGATCCTACCATCCCCTTCCGCCTTCTCAGGAGATCTAAATTAGCTGACTTTTCATCTCATCTTTTCATCTTTGTTTTCAATTCACCCTCTTCACTGACTCCTTTCCATTATCATATTTAAATCTTTACTCACTTATCTTTCCCACTTACAAACAAAACCACCACTTTCCACCCCCAGGCACCACCTCCTCCTCTAAAAGTCTTCTCTTTCCATCCATGTTTCATGAAAATTCTTTCTTCCATTTCTTCACATTTTCAGCCCCATAAATCTGGCTTCTGTTTTCATCACTGCTGAAACCCGTCTTGCCACAGACATCTATGAAGCTGAAGACACAAACTGCAGTGGAGTATCTGTCAATCCCTGTGGTGCTTTCACATTCAACACAGTCGTTGACTGCTGCCTTCTCAAATTCTCTCCTCCTTGGCCTCTGTGGCTTCCACGAGCATTTCTCATGGCTCAGGCCTGGCCTGGGCCCACTGTCTACTCTTCCTCAGCAATCTAAGTCATTTCTGTAGCTTAGATACCAATAATATACTTATGGCTCCCAAATTTTTAGAGGCCAGACTTGGCTTCTGCATTCCTAAATCACATATCCAACTTCCACTTTATATTTCCACTTGGATGCTTTCTAAGGACACCAAAACTAATGTATTTCAAATGGAATTCATCATCTTTCTTAAAAGGAAAACTGGTTTCTCTTCCCAAACTTCCTATCTTAAACTTATTCTACTGCTCAGGTCATTAATGTGAAGGTCATTCTGTCACCCTTGACATCTCTTCTCTCACAACTCTACCCCTCTTATTATATAACATCTTCCCAAATCATTTCAAAACTCTGTCTCCATTACTACTGCCACTACCCTAATTTACATCATCATCTCTTCAGACAATGATAATTTACGTCATCATCATCTCTTTGGACAATGATAACACCTTCTTTATTGTTCTCACTACATTTATTCTTTCTATATAGCAACACAGGACATTTAATTAATGTGAAATACAGTTCTTATTAAGTGTATATTTTACATAAGGAACTCTGCAACATGACATAGGGAAGTACTTAAAAGTCATAATCAAAATATCTTTGATTGTTGATGATAAAGTATGTCATGGAGAAAGTGGGTGTTTAAACCCAAGCTGTCTGAAGCAAACAAATTTCTTCAAAGTCCTGATTTATTATTTTTAAAATACTAAATGTAACATATACTATATACATTTGATTGAATATGCAAATACTTCCTTCCCCTAATGACATTAACATTCCCAGGAAGTATCCTATATTAATTCTGCGGTTTATAGTGTCTCCTTGCACACTACCACATAGCAGGTTTGAAGGGATAATCTGGGGAGTAAAAACAAATATACTCATCCTTGCTTTTTTACTTTTCACTCGATGAGCCATACAACTATAGATGAAATTTTAAATATGCATTCCTCAGAAACTTAGAAGTAAAAAGGTCAGTGTTAAAAGCCAATAAATTTGATCTGGGTCAATCATTGGCAATTCTATCCTAAAAGAACGAGTTAAGGAGTTGCTGAAAGCTGGTTGTATAAAATTGACTAAATAACAAAAAGAACAAGATAGAGGATCATGCAAAAATTCTTGGGGGTCAGCTGGGTGGCTCAGTTGGTTAGAGCGTGTGCTCTGAGCAACAAGGTTGATGATTCAATTCCCACATGGGTCAGTGAGCTGCGCCCTCCACAACTATTGAGTTGTCGGAAAAGTCATGACATATTTTGTTTATGTTTTTCAAAGGTCATTTATTTATATCAAGAACAAAGATCAATCAATGATATATTGCCCGTTTTGTTCAATAGCCTTTTGCCATCTTTCAGTGAGCTTCATAATTCCTCGTTCATAGAAGGACCTGTCTTTATTTGCGAAAAACTGAACAAGGTGCTGATTTACAGCCTCATCTGAATTGAATGTTACACCACGCAAGGAGTTTTGAAGAGAGTAAAACAAGTGGAAGTCTGATGGTGCAAGGTCAGGCAAGTTTGGTGGGTGTGGCAACACATCCCATCCAAGCTCCAATAATTTTTGACGGGTGATCAAACTTGTCTGTGGTCTCACTTTGTCGCGATGGAACACAACTCTTTTACAATTAACAAGTTCTGGACGTTTCTGGATGATGGATTCGTTCAAATTGTCCAGTTGTCAACAGTGCACATTCGAATTGATTGACTCATTCTTTGGTAGGAGCTCGAAAAACACGACATCTTTAAAATCCCGCCACACTGAGCGCATAACCTTCCTCTGATGTCTGCTTTCAATGTCGTTTGAGGCGAATCATCACGTCGGGACCAAGGCCATTTGTGTACCACATTGTTGTAAACAATCTATTTCTCATCAACAGTTATCAGTCGCTTCAAAAAAGGATCATTTTCCTCATGTTTAATGAGCATATTGCAGATGTTTCTACGCGCCGTCAAATGAACTTCTTTGAGTTCATGCGGAACCCAAATATCGAGCTTGCTTATGTATCCCAGCTTCTTCAGGTGGTCGTGAACACTTGAATGATGGATGTTCAATGTTTCTGCAATCTCTCATGTTGTGTAACATGGGTTTGACTCGATCAATGCCTTTATTTTGTCGTCATCAACCTCGGTGGGCCTCCCTGACCGAGGAGCGTCGCTGAGATCAAAATCACCAGCACGGAATTTCGTGAACCATCGTTGGCACTTACATTCTTGTAGAGCTTTGTCACCATAAACTTTATGCAACTTTTCACAAGCCTGACGCGCGTTCTTCCCTTTACGGAAGTAAAACAGTAAAATATGGCAAAAATGCAGTTTGGTCTTCCATCTTCAACTTTGTTGTAAAATCTCCAAAACTCAACCAAATCGCTCAATTTTTTTTTAGAATGAAGCTAGAACTGTCAGCTGTCAAATCACATAGCAATAACATAGATGCGAATGACTCTACTCTAGTACTTCCAAAAATAAACTAGTGCCATCTGTTGCAAACATGCGTCATGACTTGTCTGACAACCCAATATACTGGAACAACTACTTGACTTGGAGCTGATGGGTCCTGGAAAAAACACATTGTTTCCCAAAAAAACACACTGTTCCCTAATAAAGTTAAAAAAAAAAACAAATTCTTGGGACTTTGTATACTGGATGAACAGCTGAAACGTGAGCCTTATGATTTTGAGGTCTCTGATTATCAGACAGAAGGTCTCTGACTATCAGACAGGAATCTGAAGAAGGAAGTATAACAACAAAATATAGCAGATGTAAAAACAAATTTAAGTAAGTCCCATTGGTTTGAGTGTTTTCTAATTCAAGCAGATTTGCACAGCTGCCAAGCTGGCGAGTACCGATGTGACAGCTGCTACTGAGCTATCAGCGCTTAATGAATGCTAACAGTTTACTCCTGTAAGGAAAGTCATCTACCATATATAATTACAAACATATTAAATTTAATATCAGCTTGAGGCTTGTGCTTATTTTCCCATCAAAAGAAATATTATCGTTTTTAAACTACTGACAGTAGGAATTAGTGATATCTTATTGTAGAACCACAAGCCATACATCAAAGGGTAACTATGTAAGACACTGCCCTGTCCTTTAGTTCAGAGTGTAACAGAGGAAGTAAGATGTGTGCATGCTCATTAACACAAAACAAAAAGTAAAGGCTAATAAACACCCTGAATATAAATGCCATAGTTCATATACTTCATAGAGTGCTATAAAAATGTAGACAGATATCTATATATAAGTATATAATTTTATAATACCATTTGTAAGACCTGTAGGAATTTGACTGATCTCAGAAACATTTGCATTAAGTGTCTACAAACCTCTTCTCCTTGACTTATCTGATCCTTTGTTCTTTCTTTTGTTTCCATAATGTATGAATAATCTTCCTTCATCTGTTCAAGTTGGGTTGCTTTCATGAAGAACTGTATCAACAATGAGAAAAAGGGGGGTTTGCAAACTTCCATGGAACTGTAAAAAAAAGTTTTGGTCTCCAAAACTTTTAGACCAATTATGTAAAAAAGATATGAAAAACATACTTAGGCACGTACATATAAACACAAAGAACATGTCTTATTTCAGACCCAAAATGTATTCAACCTACTCTGTTCACATCTCCATGCTTATGTGCAAAAGCTCTTAAAACCCCATGAAAGAAGACTTTGGTGTGAGTGTAATACCATTTTGAAAGCTCATTTTCACTGATTCTTCCATCCTTTAAGCAAAGATGAAAGCAGAGAAAACATTTGTATCCTTGATCTTAGTGCATGTTTTAAGGTTTCAAAGTTATTATGTATGTGTGGCTAATTATTCCTTTGTATTTCCTTAAGCATTCATTTTAGGAAATAATTATCCGTTCTCCCTCAGAATTAAAAGCCAGAAAGGGAAAGCAAGGATTTACCAAAAAATTTAACATATTGGTAATGTTAATTTACCATCTTACTTAACAATTTCCTAAATTAGCCTTACCATATTACTTTAAATAGGTGGCTTAATAAAAAAACCCTCAATATTTATTATGAACAGGAATTATGTTTAATATATATGCTCAATCTATAAATATGTTCTTTTCTTAAGTTTATATCTATTTACTTGAAACTCCTTACTTTGTATTTGTCTCCATCATTTTTAGACTGCAAAAACTGCTTGCTCATCTCTTGTGTTAAAACAGAAACCGGATTATCCACCTAAAACAAACAAAAACAGGTTATTTTTGAATATTTCGCTTTACTGACTTATAAATGAACTGAAATATACAATACAACTGACCTATGGAGCCATCAGGAAGGCTCAGTACTAGCCACAAGTTAGAGCATTAAGGCAAATATACAAAGAAAAAAATGTTATGATGCAGAAAAAATGTTTCAGTATTTCATGATACTAAAATAAATACTACGCTCAAAATTAAATATTCTGTCATTACATGAAGGCACAAGCACAAGAATTATCTGAAGAAATGTTTTAGAAAATTTTCATTTCTTTCATCCGTTTTATAGACTATCACCCCTATGCTACTGGTTAACCATCAGATGACACTGAGGGAAAAGCCCTACTGGGTGTCAGCTGACTTGAGTTCTGGTTCGGGCTGTCTCTACCCACCTACGTAGCTTTGGGCAAGCTAGTTTCTCCAAACATAAAAAGTCCAACTCGGTTCGACTTTTTCATCAGAATTATGATGACAAGTATTATTTATTTTTCTTACAGTTTTTCAGATTTCCTGTTTATTGTTATTTCTCATTAAGACATTGTAAAACAATAGAAGTACTTGAGTCATTTCTATATTTTAGGCGGGGGGATCATTTTAAATAAGCCATTGCCTAAAATAAACCACCTTTGGCTAACAAGTTCAAGTACAGTTAAGGTAACAGTAAAGTAGAGTAACAGCTCAAACTATAGTTGAAAAAGTTTTTTTAAAAAAAGATAATGTGTTTCAAAAAGGTTCAGAGTTTTATGTCCTGTATCTTTGGTGTTAATACAAAGTAACTTATGTTAGAAAATAATCCTGTCTGTAAATTATAGAATACGTAAGACCGGTATAAATGAAAACAGTTTTAAACTCCTTCATTTTACCATCTGTAAAATACCGATTGTACTTTGTTAGTATACCGACGATTAAAACCTTCCTTTGGGGGCCGGCCGGCCGAGTGGCGTGTTGGTTAAGAGCTGGCTTGGGACGCCAGAGGGTCCTGGTTCAGATCCCACATATGAGGGCCAGTGACACTGCCCTCCACAGCTAAGATGCTGAACAACAGCTCAACCTGGAGCTGGGCTGCCGTGAGTCGCAGGCGACGGTGTAGGCTGCAGCCCCTGCTGCAGTGGGTTGCATGGGCTACCGTGTGTAGCCAGCAGCCAGCGTGAGCAGCCAGCAGCCGCAGTGAGCAGCTGTCCAGAGAACAGCGACTGATCTGCCTCACCCGGGAAGAGCGCAATGATGGTGCCAACTTGGGCCAGTGAAGCAACGTCCTCCACAACTAGACTGAAGAACAAAACGACAGCAACTTGTCTGTTCCCCTTCCCCCAATTCCCCAGCGCTATTCCCATCCCCGAATTCCCCAATAAAAATCTTTAAAAAAAAACAAACAAAAAACCTTCCTTTTAAGTAAAAATTTGGGTCTTCCCTTGTAAAATAAAAAAATCCATTCAGTTATAAAGAAACCTCTACCTATGACATTGTTTCTTATTATAAAGGTAGACCAGCTCTGAGTGCCACATCTTTTTTACAAGGCCTGCCCTGCATCTTAACTTCACCCTGCATCCGACTTCTTAAATGTAAGATCTAATACACTAGCTTTAATGACAGACTTCTTACCACCAACTTGGGATGCAGGGTTTTCCCCAAAGTTTGTATCTTTTCTCCACGTTCTTTTCATTATTTCTGAAGTAGAGTTCCTAGTTCCTACCCTGCTCTAGGAATTATTTAAGCATCTTGCAGCTTTACCTATCGAGACCCTACAGCAAGCACAAGCAGGTAAGCTGCACAGAAAAGATAAGCAGAGCGCCACAGGGGGCAAATGCAACCAGGCGCTTAAAGACATTAGCCTCCCCTCCCTCCAAGAACAGCATGTCCAAGGGGAAACATCATGCAAACCACACATACAGTTTAAAAATTTCTAGTAGCTACGTCAAAAACATAAAAAGAGATAAAATTAGTATTAATAACAGTTTTAATTTTCTATCTAAATATTATCATTTTAACATCTAATCAATAGAAAAATTGAGTTATTCCTTTGCATTAAGTCTCTAAGTCCAGCGTGTACTTCACATGTGGCCAGTGGCTACTGTACCGACCAGTAAGTGCAGCTCTAGACCTTCTGTATTTTGATCAATGAACTTGAACCTTTAGTTAACTGAATCATACAAGAGGACTAAAGGAGTTATGATAATAATTGTCAGATATTTCAAAAGAGAATAAACATGTTTTACATTCCCTAAGGAAGTGGGAGCTGAGAAAAACAAGATTTAGTCAACTTTTCACGTAATAAGAACTTTCTAATAAATACAGCAGTCCGCAGAGGGAATACGCCTCAGGCATAGGTGATTCCCACCAGGTAAGTACGGGGTGTGACAACTATACTGGATGCCCTCCCTTCAAGATGCTTCCAATACCTATGAGTGTATAAACTCTAACTTTTGGTTTTCCTGATTTTTCTTAACAAATGCTTTGCATTCTAGTCTCAAATGTATTTGCTGTATCTGCTTTTCTTCAAATTTTAATAATTATTTTTTTGAACCTATGTTATCTGATATGGAAGCTACTAGCCACGTGTGACTGTTTAAATAATAAAGAAAAAATAAATAAAATAAAAAATTTGATTTCTCTATTTTTTCTCACTTCAAGTGCTCAAGAGCCTACCCCATCACACAGCGAAATCGCAGACTATTTCTACCATCACAGAAAGGTTTTCTGGACAGCTTATTTCTACAGCAGACAGGCAAAGAGACCCAGCCGTGTAACTGCTCCTTTTCCTTGGTAACTAGTCTTGGTGTTTTTAGCCCTGGAATGAGGCCGGGTGGTGAAATGGATAGCGCATTAGAATGCAAGGATGCTTGGCTCCCAATCCAGGAGCTACCAGTAACCACGCCTAGACAACCTAAGTGCAAGCTTGCTTTTTCGGGCTCCCAATTTCTCACCTACAAAATAAAGGGTCTGGATTAGAAGACCACCAAAGACAAGTCCAGTGCTAAGGGCACAGGACTCTACGTGCCCTACTTCCAATTATTTAGTCAAAATACATTTAGCAGAAAGGACTCTTTCTGCTTGTCTCCTACAGGTATAACCAATATCTCCAAAATACATATAGAAATGCTTTATCTTTCTAGAATAAATTTCCTTTCTATAGGAATTTAGCAACTGAGTTTAGGAAACTGTGATGCTATTCTGACTGGGACAGCAGAAAGCAAAGCAATTTTCAGTCCTTATGAACATATATTTTTAGCACACACGGGTATGGACCAGGCAGTATGGGCTGCTCTATGAAATGACAGGTGTTATGGTAATAGTGCTATGAATTGAAAATTCTACTAAATTTTAAGGAACTCCACTAACAATGGTTATACATATTCTTTCTGTGGTCAATCTACTCATATGAGACTATTTTAATTCTTTCTACACAATAAAGACAATCACACAAAAAAGTAACCAGGTACATTAATGAACCAGAAACACAAATTTAGCAATTACCTGTATGTTAAAATGGTCAAGAATTGCAATCAGCTCTTCTTTCTTGGTAGAAACCACGGTGCCTAGTTATGAGAAACATAAAATGATCAGATTGTTTCTAGGGCAATAATAATAGGGAAAAAATGAGCCACTATTCATAAACATGAAGATTAATTACTCTTCCTTGTCAGGAAAAAAGGTACCACTGAACATACACACATCTGAGTGAAACAGGGCAATACACTAATCACGACACAAGTACACACAGGAGGGAGAAGCACGGAACGCGGCGATCGGGCTTCTCGTCTCCCGGGAGCTACACGTTTTCTGTTCCTTCTCAGCCACCTCTTCAGCTAACACTCGACTCCTCTTCCCTCGCGTTCTTGCCCACCTTTTGCTAACCATCTTTCCACATGTGATAGGAACTACAGGGGTGAAAGGAGGTCTGCGGATGAGAACAAAATGGCACAGCCTGTTTCAAACGCACCCCAAATCTGCTAATCATGGTTTTGCTAGAGAAATGTCCATAATCAATATTATATTACCTGACTACTCTATGGTGCAACAGCTATGTGTGATAGTTGTATGTATATACTTACATGCGACTGACCAATCGCCTTACAAGAAAGAGGTTTAAGAGATAAGAAGCGCCCTTTCCATGAATACCAGCATAATCACTTAACTTTTTTTAACTGGATAGTCACTGATATTTTGTATGAAATGAAAAGATATTCATGACAAACCTGTTGAGCTTTTCAGTTTATAGGACCGACTTCCATCCATGCTGATGTGCTGTTGCACAATTATGGACTCGCCATACACATTTGCTTTATAGGCATCATCACCTCTGTTCCTCAATTTTATTGAGATATCTGCTGAGCTAAATAAAGCAATAAGGTTCAGCTAAGTCACATGCAGGTATAGGGCAAGTGTAATACCAGGTTACTATCATTTTCAAAACTTCTAAGTAACTTGGCTAATTCATTTGGAAAGTAGTTTTACACCAGCAATTGAGGGATGATAGGCTAAAACAGAATGACGTTAAAGATATTACACCTAACAAAAAATGAAAGTCGAGAATGCGAGAAGCTTTATAAAAAGTAATTGACTAGTCTAGCAATAGAAATATCACATTTGCACAAAAAACATTTACCTTTTGTTTGTTTCAAATCAAGTAGATAAGTTATATATTTTCCTGTAAGTGATGTATAATCAATATTATACTGCCTGTCTACTCTAAATTATATAAAGCATCATATTGACAGCAGGATTGTAAGAATGATAAAATAAGAATTATGGTGAAATAATAATATTTTCTAAGATGATACAAATCAAAGAAAGCAGTATAATTTTTCAATTATTTGGCAACAAAAAAATGAAAGTATCTGATACCAAGAAATATAAACTAAATCTCAAAATTTCTGAATTTTGGTATTTATAATATTGTAATATTTATAATATTGGTATTATAAAGCAATTATTTTTGAAATCTGAAAGAAGTTTAAAACATTTATAGCCATGCATATTTTAACATTATAGGGGGAAAAAAATCAATCTTTATTTTTCTACTCTAACTTCAGTTACAATAAGATTTGGTTAAAAAAAAAGTTAATACAGGACATCAATAAATACATACTTTAAAAATATTCACAATGGACTTGACTGTGAACTGATATTACAGTAGACACACTGAAAAGTTCGCTCAGCACTTGCTTCCCCGCCCTCTTCACAAGCAACGGAGCAGAAGAGGGCTTAGCAGCCCTATCAGTCCCCATCCTCCCTCCAGGGGCTGAGCTAAGCCGAGAAATCTGACACTATCTGAGCCAGACTCTTTTCTTGAAAAATTCAAATTCAGAAAAACTGGTCAAATCCAAATAAGATCTGTAGTTTAGTTCACAATGTAATACCCATTGTTAACTGCACAGATTTGACAAAAGCACCATAGTTATTGAAGACATCAACATTAAGAAAAATTAGGTAAAGGGTATACAGGAAAACTGTACAACACTTCGGTAAATCTACAGTTATTTCAAAATGAAAAGTTTAAAAAAACCCTCAAATTAAGACATAAGCACATAGATAGATGGTTACTCCTTGGAGCTACAAAGCTATGAGGCCTCTGGGATGAGAGAAACCAGTTTGGGGCACTACACTCTGAGGAGCAAGTAGAAAGTCTGCAGAGACTAGAGAGGCGCAGGAGCGCAGAACAGGGCAGCTCTTGGGAAACCACGCAGACAGACTGAGACACATACCCACAGATACTGGCGGTGAATCAGAGACGCAGAGAACACAGGAGCACTGCCTTCCCCACACGGCTGCCAAACTAAGACAGTGAGACATAAATGCCTGCACATATAGAGTAAGAAAAACTGTGCTCAACAATAAGAACACACATGCTTCGGAGACAATGCGAGAGACACACACTCACATCCCCACACATTTGTCGCAGGAAAGAGGAACGGAGGGAAGCGCAATCCAGAAGCACAGCCAATCACGTAAGAGGACGGGGTGGTATAATGGACGGGTTGCAGCATGGACCTGAAGGAAGGGCCAGGGAGACAAAGAGGCCTGGAGCCCACACAGAGAACACCGGACGCACACACAGACCCAGCGACAAACGACACTTGGTTCTCAGGTCTCTCATCTCTGGTTACTCATGAGACCCAACTGTACTTCCTCCTGGAATCTTCCAAGATATTTATCCCAGCATCTTGACGGTAAATGTTTTCTAAAGCTACCCTGAGTGGGGTGGTGTGTGTGTGTTTTGAAGACAGATATGATCCTCAAAAGTTGAAATTAACAAGATTTTTAAAAGGTCCCCAAGTTGATCTAATGAACAGCCAAAGTTGACAACCATTACCTAAAGTAGGCCAGGGGAAGGGCAACTGGCTACAGTATGGAGCAGAAGTATTTATTTCATTAACTAGTATGATTATCTAGGATTAAGTGAATGTACCTCATGAAAACAGGTTACAGTGACTACATGTATTTGCTCTCTGATTTATCAAGCATCTCTCTTGATTAGCAAATGTCTACTTTTTTATTTTCCTTCCTAGATACTGCTTCCATTTTAAAGCTACCTTTAGTGTTGTGAGAACTTTGAAGTCACTGACATCCTGTTGCTATATGAATGTAATAAATATAAGAAAGTCAAGTTATTAAAAAAATTACGGCTTAAGAAAACAGCCTAATAGCAACTGCTCGTAAGGAGAGAGGGACACTTGAGCTGGGCACTAACTGCCACTTTCCCACCGTACTGATGTGGCTGGTGCTGCATGGGATAAGGGCCACAGAGCCCAGTCTGTAATACGGGAGATGCTTACGTGAAAAGACAGACTATCACTGAGACATCTTTAAGAACAATGCAAACAAGTAGTGCCACAGTAGGAATTTGGCTTCTTTCTCAACTCTGGAACAACCTATCTGCACAAAAGTAACTGGGAGGAGGCACACACCAATGGGATCGAGGAACAAGGAAAACACAGTGTAACATTGTGACCCATCTGCCCCTTCTCTGGGTAGCCGTAGTAAGTTCTGTAGCCTTGACTAAATCAGGAATGTATAGCAGGGATATGAGTATTCATTTCTGCATAACCCACTCCCAATGCCACAGCTGATGGCAAAACAGGACTGGTGCAAAGGTCCCCATGCCACCAGGGCTAGTATCAGGAAGGCTGAGGAGGGGACAGCGAGATGCAGAGCCAGTGGTATGAGACCGTGGGTCCCTGCGAGAAGAAATGTATTAGGAGAATAGATTCACTGTCCCCGTTTCACTGAAAAAGGGCTGAAGAATGATCGGAGGGCCAAGCCCCAGGTAAGAAAAGGGTCTCTCTCAAGTTGCAGTTCTCTGGCTTCTCCTAACCATGCTGGGCAAGCATCTCTACGGCAGCCCATCACCCAGGGCACAAATGGAGAGTGTAGTGTTCGGCACAGGAAGCACAGTCCTGGACTTCCTCACAGCCATGTCAGACTGACGGCCATTCCTCAGGCAAGCGGGAGAGCCACCTAGATTTTAGATGCAGGATAGACTATGGACAACTGAAAAGCTCAGAGAGCTGATTCTGGGAAAACATGATGACAGAATCAGAGACTATAAAATAAGAGGAATTTTATTGATACCAAATGTTTTAAATGAGGAAGAGGATGATAAGAGGAATAGTAATGGGTCTGGAAAAGCTGTTTACAGCTACTGAAAAGACAAGGTCAGTAAAAAGGAGACTGAACTCAGGTTAAAGGTTTTAACTATTATTAACTTGTTAAAATATAATAACATTCCTATCTATATGCAGTGTCCTCAAAAGTTCGTGATATGTGTAAGCTTCCTTTTTTCTTTCCCCTCCCCTCCCCTCCCTTCCTCCCTCCCTTCCTCCCTGCTATAGTCCAAGGTCAAGTCGCAGAAAGAAGTTTCTGCTTTGGTCCAGATACTTCCCAAATGGGAACAATATAATTTAACTGAGACATACGAGTAAAACATTTAATGATACAGAAAAACTAATTTCTTCCTGAAACTTCTATTTGAAAGATCAATGTGTTATCTGGCTAGGTAGACTAGGTGATTGTTTGGACAACTAAGAAATGGGTAGTTAAATACAATAAATAGAAACGGAATTGGGACTACTAAGTGTTAAAATAACTAATTTTTCACTTCAGACATATTTTGTTTGGGGACTGTGGGGGAGAAGACCTTGCTGGGCTGCGGCCTGTTTAAGTAAGATAAGTAGAGACAGGAAACATGCTGGAGAATTGTTTCCAAATAGTTCTTTTTCAAGGCCACAAGGCATGGGAGGTGCTTTTCTGTGTCTCTTTTCCCCTGCTTATCCTGAGTCAACTTGGAACCCGTGCTTAGGGTTAAGATTCCTAAGGTCTGAGGACCCTGAGAAAGAAGATACCTACTAAGAAGTGCGTTTAGTGGCTAACTGGGCTCAAACTAAAAAAAAAATAAATAAATAAAAACAAAAAAAAACAAACAGAGTCTAGCAGCCCTTTCTACACAGGGGCCTCTCACACAAACTGCACTTCGGGGAGAAGCCTGCACTAAGCTGCCTGCCTCCCACACTGAACTGCCTGCCTGCACTGTGCTCCTGCCATCTGAGCTACACAGGAGTTTTTGGAATGTTATTATAACCAGTAGACTGAGGCTCTCCCTGTCCAATTGGAGTTACACAGCTATATCCTCATCAGCATTTTCACCAAACAGCAGCTCCATTCCGACCAATCAGGACAGTGCCTTTTGGACCAATCAGACTGTGAGGATTTGGAGTCATGTGCATAGATATGGACCAATCAAGGTCAAGGGGTGGGGGGCTTCTGTCTGTATAAGTCAGTTCTGTCTGTATAAGTCAGTTCCCCTTTGGCTTGGAAAGCACACTTTCTCTTTTCACTGACAGCTGAAGAAGATTGCGTTTCCCCAGCTGAAGCTGAAGTACCACCAAAGGAGACTCCCTAGAGCAGAGCATGGCAGAGTGGAGTGGGTGGGACCGGACTGGAACAGGTGGAGCAGAATACAGCAGAGAAGAGCGGAGCTGTCTAGCCAGAGAGGGGCCGGGCCCCAGGGCCACCTCACAGCCATGCCGCTTCATAATTGAGCTGTATCACAATTGAGCTGTTTGCACTGAATTAAGGGTCTTTCGTCACACCCTAAACTGGGGATTCCTGTTGGTGTTGAACTGACACCAACAGCCATCAGTTGACAGGTTTCTGAAAGATACATAAAAATACCCACAATCCTGACTCACATCCCTTGTTCGATTTTTTTCCGGTAGTAAAATGGGAGAAATTAAATGGATATAACATTGAGCAGAGGAAAGTCTGTTATGATATGAGAAAAAAGGCATTGCTGCTAATGATCAAAGTTGCCCATGTTCTGGGCGCTAGGCCTGTGAGAGAGGAGTGAGTAGTGGAAGCAGCCTCACTCTGGGAGCCGTGACAGAGCCCGGATGTCTAGTTGTCAGGAGAAACAGGGTCCCTGCACAGCTACCTGAGGCAGTATTAAAAAGATTAAGGAGGCCAGCCGAGTGGCTCAGTTGGTTGAGAGCTCGAGCTCTGAGCAACAGGGTCCCTGGTTTGATTCACAGCCCAAGCTGAGCTGCCGCTGAGCTGCCAAAAGGTGGCAGGATGGCTCAGCTAAAAAAAAAAAAGAATAACGACATCACCCTGAAGAGAGCTCCTAATGGGCAAAAGGCCATGAGTCTATGATGATGTAAACTGGACAACTGCCGTGTAGTTATGTGACGGCACACTATGCCAAAAAAAATAAAAACGTAAAGCCAAAGAAGGCAGTTATAGGACCATTCACCAACCGTCAAGATGGACCACAAATTGACTTGTGATTGTGGTCCTCAAATGAAACTCCCTGGTGAACACCTGGGTAAAGGGTAGAAAATCAGAGACAGAAAATGGAATACTTTTTTGGAATTCTTAAAGAGCAAGAGGCAGAAATTGTGTGCAGGGACACCCTAGCTGGTCATAGACTCTGCTTTTGGCTCTGTCAGATCAATGTGTACTTGCCAAAGCGAGGTCTGGATCAAGAGTCAGAAAAGTCCAATGTGTACATATATTCCTTTAAACACAAGTACATTATTTATCACTGCTCGTTCTTCTAGAAAGGTAACAGAAACAAGAGTGTAGGTAGGCAGGCACATGGCAATAATTTACACAAGCTTTCTGTCTGGTGAGAACAGGCAACAGTGAGCCATGCTGGCGATGGGGGCAAGAGAAGGGAATGAAAAGATGTGATACCTCGGCTCCCGCTCTGAGAAGCCAATTCATTTCCAGTAATGTCTATATGAACTGGGAATCTAAAGTAGCTAGCTGCTTCTTACTAAAGAACTGAAAAATACATGTAGAAAGCAAGCACTTACTTCTGTCCATCTTTCACAAAACCTTTTAAAGAAGATCCTCTATTAGTGGCGACTGCTTTTCCACCAAGACCAACTATGAGAGCTGTAAGTACTGCACTCTTCCCACCTAAGGAAACAGGTGTTGAAGAAATCACATTCATTAAAGAGAGAGAGAAAAGAAATGGCTAACTCCTACAATTTGATGTAAAAAGGTTTCTGAATGAAAATGTGAATTAGCCTAACCCTAAAAGTATTATACTACTTCAATTGTAATTCCAGTGCCAAGGCAGCAAACTAAAAAAAAAAAAAAAAGTTGTATATATCATGAAATATTTACTGCTATTAGAAAAATTACATTTTAGAAATTAAAATTTTGCCAATAATAAGGAAATAGAAAAATGGTTACCTTTTCAACCTAAATATCCCACTGTAGCTTGGCCTATCAACCTATTAAATGATCTATCTAACTATACATATATACTTAATTCATCTAATTGTTATTACTTTCTCCTTTGATTGCAATTTACTTTTTCCATGAATTCTTATAAGTCAATACCTATTTTTAACAACCCCTGAATTCAAATTTCATAGGGACAAGAATGTTGTCTACTTTATTCAGTGCTGTATCTCCAATATCTACCCATAATGGGCACTGACGTATTTGTTTAATGAATGAACTTAAATATGAAAAATTATCGGTCATACAAATAGGTATTTTATGTAATATCTGGAAAATTATTACCAATTTGAATATTATTCATTTGTTAGCTCTCTGCAAAGTGTACTTCTTTTTACCCTAAGACACAAAATACCACAAAAATTCCAACATCTACAAAATTACCCAGAATATGGTAAGCATTTTACGAACTATCAATTGATTCAATCAGCTGTTATCAGCCCATCATCCTCCTCAATATACTCCAAATTAACCAAAATACACCACTGTTTAACTAAAGTTAAACTTAGTGCTGGAAATGCCTCTGAAGTCCCATTCTAACTCTCTCCTTTTCCTTCACTTCTAAATTCACTGCCTCCACTACTTGCATTATTTCTTCATAAGCTTCATTAATAAAATCACTGCTTCAAAAGGTAAAAATAAGAAAAGACCTAACTGCAGAACCGACCGGTCTTTCTTCACTTCTTGTCCCGTGTGACCTCCCTGTAGCGCTGATCCGTTTTGTCTATTCTCCTGAAAATACTTTTCTCTTAACTGAATATAGAGTAGGGAAAACAAATAGCAACTAAACAGGCTGTGGAACTACATGAACCTCGTTTCATGTGCCAGCACTGTTATCATTTGTAGGCTCTGGCAAGCCTCCTCTCCCTGCAGACTGGCTCAGTCCATCTGGGAACCTCAAGCCTGGCTGGTCTATCAACCAAAGCTACCTAACTGGTCTTTCTAATTCTTGTGTCTTTCCCCTCCTAATCTGTTCTCCACAACATGGCCAGTTTGTTTCACAAATCTTGATCATGTTATCGCTTTACTCAAAAACTTTAATTGGTTCCCTACTGACTTCTGAATAAATCCCCAAAATCTTTATCATGACTTTCTAGACTTCAACCTATCACCTACAACACGACGGTCCAGTGTCAGCTTCTGCCTCTTCCTACCAGGTACGGTAAGACAAAGCCACATGAGGTTGCTGACCATGCTCCACACACATCTACTTCTATCCCTCCAAACCTTGGCTGATGACCACTCTTTGCCTAGAACATCTCAGTTTCATCCTCAATGAGACCTAAAGAATCTATCATTTTCAGTGAAGTCCCAGCACAAATATCCTTTCCTCTTAATGCTTTCAATGGCCACAAGCGTGAGAATTAGCTTCTTTCATGTTTGGATTCCCGTGGCGCTTTATTTATGTCCTGTTACAACATTTAATAGATGGAGGACATAAGGCTGCCTCAATCGCAATGAGGTAGCTCGTCCATTCTTCTAGGCCATGAATTCCAAGGTAAATGGATTCAAAAGAAAAGCAGGAAATGTTTATTCTTATTGCATAAACAATGAACCTAGAGTTAATTCATTTTCTTAAACTGTAAGACTGCAGCAAATACTAAAAATACACATGATCACAAGTTACAGATCTAAAGCTTAGATTTATCAGCACTAGTAATCACCTATTTAAAAAACTTAATGCATTTTAATCTCAAAGTACTGCTCCAAGTTCAAGAAGAAAGAAGGCAAAAGCACTTACTTCCATTGTTGCCAACCACAAAATTGACATTAGAACCAAATTTAAAGGGTCCAAGCATCGAATGGCACATGAAGTTTTTTAGCTGAATGCTCTCAATTATTCCAACGTCTGCTGCAGTCTATTAATAAAAAACAATGGGAGAAAACAATCAATCTGTCTAATCCACTCATTATAGTCAAGAAGCGATTGCTGGCAGGAGAAAGACCAGCAGTGTTTCCAATGAAAAAAGCACAGAAAGTGAACATTAACTTCAATCAACGAGTAAGATGAAATTCAGGGGGAACCTTATGTGAATAACTATGCGTTCTAAAGTCCTGAAAGGATCTAATAAGTGTATTACAGGTTTCTCAATATAAATACCAGCATTTTGAGTCAGATAATTTCCTGTAGAAGGGGGGCTATCTTGTGTACTGTGGGATGTTTAACAGCATCCCGAGCCTCTACACACCTGATGCCAGTAGTATGCAACCACCGTTCAGCTGTGACAACCAAAAATATCACCAGACATTGCTAAACCGTCCCTGGGAGGGTCGGGGTGGGGGGGGGGGGTAAAATCCCCCTGGTTGAGAACCACTGGTGTAAGGAAGCTTCCCATAAACTACAGAGTCATATCTAGAATACACCTGAAAGATGGGATGGTTTCAACACTTAACTTGATATAGACACTTCAAAGAGTACATGTTCTGAAATGGTCAAGCCTGTGACTTTCTGTGTCTGTCACTTATTGTGACTTTCTGTGTCTGTCACTTATTATAACTGTGTGACTTCGGCAATGTATAAAGAATATATGGTTTCTAAATCTGTAAAACAGAAATAACTCCCATATTGTAATATGTTAGGATTAAATTAGAAAAAGTTCATAAATGTTTTAATCAAGAGTTTGGCACACAGTGGTCACACCTTGTAATTAGAAATAACAGAATAGGGCTGGCTGAGTGGCTCGTTGGTTAAGAGTTGGCTTGGGACACCAGCTCTGAGCAGCAGAACCCTGGTTCAGATCCCACATGGGGGCCAGTGATGCTGCGCCCTCTACAGCTAAGATGGTGAACAACAGCTCGACCTGGAGCTGGGCTGCGGTGAGTTGCCAGCGATGGTGTAGGCTGCAGCCCCTGATGCAGGGGGCTGCCATAAGCTACCGTGAGTGGCTGGCAGCCAGCGTGAGCTGCCGGCAGCTGGTGTGAGCTGCCGTGAGTGGCCGTCCACCAATCTGCCTCACCCAGGAAGAACACAATAATACCAACATGGGCCACTGAAGCGACGTCCTTCACAACTAGACTGAAGAACAAAAGGACAGCAACTTGTCTGTTCCCCTTCCCCGATTCCCCAACACTGTTCCCCTCCCCCAATTCCCCAATAAAATCTTAAAAGAAAGCAACAACAAAATAAATCAGCCATATTTTACCAAACTTTCCAATTTTTTTGAAGAACAGTTAATGTCTCCAGCTTTGTAAAGAGTTTCTTTAAAAAGTCCCTGGGCTCTCTTCTTGTGGACACCACTTATTAAAATGCCGTAAGTGGGCTGGCCAAGTGGCTCAGGTGGTTAAGGGTTAGTTTAAGAGTGCGAGCTCTGAGCAATAGGGCCACCGGTTTGATTCCCACATGGGCCAGTGATGCTGTACCCGAGCTGAGCTGCCAACAGGTGGTAGGATGGCTCAGCTGGTGAGAGCACATGCTCCTAACAAGACTGCCTGTTCCATGGTGGCTACGCCCGCCCACTCGCAACTAAGACTGAACTCGGCACCTTGAGCTGAGCTGCCACCCGGATGGCTCAGTGGATAGAGCGTGCGCTCTTAACAACAAGGCTGCTGGTTCGACTTCCACATGGGATGGTGGTTCCGCCTACCCACAACTAAGATTGTAACACAGCACCTTGAGCTTAGAGGCCACGAGCTGCAGACAGGCAGCCAGATGGCGACTGGCAACCTCCACAACTAAGACAACTTAGCTGGTCCCTCTACCCAATTCCCCAACACTGTTCCCCTCCCCCAATTCCCCAATTTTAAAAAAAAAAATCAAAAAAGGCAGTAACCATTTATATCCTTGTATGAGTAGAATACCAGAAATCATGGTGCAAGTTTTTTAAAATATTTTTTTGTTTTGATCTAATGGTAGATTCAGAAGCAGTTGTAAGAAATAATATAGACATCCTGTGACCCCTTTCCCCAGTTTCTGTCCATGCGTAGCATCTTGACAACCACAGCACCACAGGGATACTGGTGTTGATACAGTCAGGGTACAGAATGTTCCCATCACCACAGGATCCCTCATGATGCCCCTTTAGAGTCACATCCACATCCCACCCAACCCATCCCCTCCTTAATCCCCGTCCACTAGTCTGTTCTTCATTTCTGTAACACTGTCAATTTCAAGAGTGTTATATATAAATGGAATAAACAGAATGTAACCTTTTGAGATTGGTTTTTGTCACTCACCATGATTGTCTATTGTTGCCTATTATCAGCAGTTCACAGCTTTTTATTGATAAATAGTATTTCATGGTATGGATATACTACAGTCTGTTTAACCATTCACTCAACAAATGACAGTTTGTTGTTACAGTATTGGCTATTACAAATAAAGCAGGGTATACAGTAATGTACAGATTTTTGTGTGAAGATACATCTTCATTTCTCTGGGATAAATACTGGGTTGTATGGTAGGTAGTATGTCTCTCCATTTATTTAGGTCTTCTTTGATTCAACTCATCAGCACTGTATAGTTTTCAGCATAAAGTCCTGTACATATTTTGTTAGATTTAGACCTAAGTATTTCATTTTTTGAGCGACTGTAAATGGTATTATATTCTGAACTTCAGTGTCGCTGTGTTCAATGCTAGTAACCAATGACTTTAAAAAAAAAAAAAAGTTTATCTTATATCCTGCAATCTTGCTGGATATAGTCCAAAGAGGTTTTTTGTTTTGTTTTTTAATTCCTTGAGATTTTCTATGTAGACAATCAGGTCATCTGCAAACAGAGATTGTTTTTTTTCCTTTCCAACACGTACACCTTTTTTTCTTTCTTGCTTTATTGTGGTGGCTAAATTGTCCAGCACTGTGTTAAATAAGAATGATGAGAACAGACATCCTTGCCTTGTTCCTGATCATAGGAAAAATAGACAATTCAGTATTTTACCATTAAGTATGATATGAACTGTAGGGTTTTTTGTTAATGCTCTTTATCACACTGAGGAAATTCCCCTCTGTTCCTACTGAGAATTTTCATCATGAATGGTGCTGAATTTTGTCAACTGCTTTTTCTGCATCAAGTGATGTGATCATGTGATTTTTCTTCTTTAGCCTGTTAAAATGGTGAATTATACTGACTGATATTCAAATACTAAACTGGCTTGCACGCCTAGGATAAACCCTACTTGATCATGGTGTGTAATTCTTTTTATATACTGCTGAATTCTATTTGCTAATATTGTGTTAGGGATTTTTCCGTCTGTATCCATGAGGCATATTGGTCTGTAGTTTGCTTTTTTAGTACCCTCTTTGTCTGGTTTTGGTATCAAGATAATGAATTGGAAAGTGTTTCCCCCCCTTCTATTTTCTGGAAACAACTATGTAGAATTTATATTCGTGTTTCTTAAAATGTTTGGTACAATTCTCCAGTCAAAACAACTGGGCATGAAGGTTTCTTTAATAGGAGTTTTTAAACAATGAATTTCATTAATACTTGTAAAGTGATTCATATTATCTACTTCACATTGGGTAAATTGTGGTAGTTTGCACTTTTAAAGGAACTGGTCCAGGGGCCAACCGAGTGGCTCAGTTGGTTAAGAGCTCACTCAAGAGTGCAAGCTCTGAGCAACAGGGTTGCCAGTTCGATTCACAGCCTGAGCTGAGCTGCCAACAGGTGGCAGGATGGCTCAGCTTGGAAAAAAAAAAAAAAAAAAGGAACTGGTCCACTCTAAGTTGTGAAATTTATGTGTGTAGAGTTGTAAACAGTATTCCCTTATTATCCTTTTGATGTTTGCAGGGTCTGTGGTCACAGCTACTGTTTCATTCCTGATATTGGAAATTTGTTGTCTTCTCTCTTTTTTACCCTTTTTAAGTTTCATTAGAGGTTTGTCAATTTTATTGATCTTTCCAAAGAATCTGCTCTTTGTATCACTGTTTTCCGTACTCATTTTTTTCTAATTAACAAAACCTTCAAAATTGTCAGGTTATTTTACTTCAGCTTTTTAAAAATCATACTGCTTTTCCTGAATTGAATTATCAAGAGTATGACATATACACCACACAGACATGAGAAACATGCTAATCAAAAACCATAATTTTGTATTTTTGCACTTACCAAAGTAGAAGTACCATCGTCATCGTGATCAAAATCCTCCAGCTCTTCGTGTCTTGGTCTTTTGGCATTTTCAGGAGAGAAGAAATTATCTTCCTTTCTTTTGGCCATCGGGTCTGAACAAATATTAAAATATTATGGTAACGATGAAGTAAGTCAAGTACAGCATCCATGTGACTGTTCCATACACGTTAAAATTAAAATAAACCAGACTAAGTTTTATGTACTATGTTCATTCATTTTTACTTAAAAATAAAAAAGTAAAAATATCATTTGCATGGAGGAAGGAATCCATGAGCTAAGGAAAGGCTGGGAAACATTTTGCCCTTAAGAGTGTCCAGAAAAGAACACAGCCCTGCTGCCGCCTTGATTTTAGCCCAGGGAGACATGTCAGACTTCTAACCTACAGAAGATAATAAATTTCTGTGTTTTAAATTATCTGCATGTGTTACAATAGTTGATTTTATTTCAATTATTCATGGCTATGACTTTATAGATAGGGACCTTCCTAAATGTTTTGACTCCTAAACTCACAGAAGGTAAAAAGATTTTGTGTAACTGTGGTTTCCAGTTTCCTAGATCTATGAATAGAGATGGCAAAATGCCTTCTAAAATCATTCCAGAGCAATCATCCAACTTTTGTGAGTTATAAAGTAATACTGAATCAGATAAAATTTTCACTTTTAAATTATTTTCCCAAAGCAGCACATTTTGAAGCAGTGTGACCCAGCACCAGGAGTTTCTGTTAACTGTTCCCTAAAGAAAGCCCATACTAATTGTCTATTTTTTACCAATAGACTATAAAATGTATACCTAGAAAACATATTTAAAATAACACAAGCTTTTCTAAACTTATGAATACCGCACCTCAAGTCAAAGCGGATAGTCTGTGATTGAAATTAAATGTTATGACCACTCTGACTGCTGCTTTCATTTTTCTCTTTTAAGTACATTTAAGACCTCAACAGATAGGTACCTAATAACTGTTTCCTGAATAAACAGAGAAAATTCATGACATAGGTGATCACAACTTTCTAACCTACAAGAAAAGGATATGAGAATAGTTACAGTTTCAACCCATTTACGTCCCTCAGCACTACCCCACAGCAATCCTGTGTGTACCAGGGACCTGGGCAGCAGTAGAATGAGATTTTCTTTCTCATGAATTTTGACTGAAAGATTCTAGTCACCCCTCCCTAGAAGATAGGACATGCATCACAGGACAGAAAGCCAGTCTTATGTGTGTGTCTGTGTGTGTGTGCAGCCAGGGCGGGAGGCTGTGGAGTGGGGTTACAGAGAGCAGGAAGTAGCTAGGCAGAAACAGAACCTGACTAGAGGAGGAATGCGAGAAAGGGAGGGTGAGGGAGAGTCATACAGTGATTCTTTTTTTTTTTTTTTTTAACCACTGCTTTCCAAACTTATACTGACAGAACCAATTTCAGAAATATTAAATATCTATGCATATTCTGGAGCAACTGTTTTGGGGGACAATCTTTGCCAACTTTATTATTATGACAATTCATTAACTGAAATGAGTAGTTTGCCCATCTTTTTAATACTTTGAAATCACTTCTATGGCATGACACTTGAATATTTTTTGAAAGTGAGAAAGAAATAGGCTTAAAGCTATTAGATAGTGGATACTGTTCTAAAGTTAACTTTATGAAATCATTTTAATTTCTATTTTGTATACTGTTTTTTACAGGCTCACTGTATCTTCCTGAATCATTTTATCCACAATTTTATATTCCAAAATATTGAAATTTTAAAGCTCCAAATTTACTATACACAATTGCCTTGTTTTGTAAAATCTTCAACTGTAGTCATGACTCGCTTCATGCAAATTCTATTTAATGAAATTTTAAACATTTCTTCCAAATACAAGTTCTTTGCTGTATCAAATCTAGTTTTTCTTTAATGGGAATATTGTACTGTTTATTCATAAATTTGTATACAACCAAGTATAAGGAATATGTAATGGGGCTAGAGTTCTCCCACAGTGCAACTTAAAAAGAAAAACAATCAGAGACTTTCACTTCCAGGAAGATAGAATAAGTGTATCCTTCCCTATTCCTCTTGCTTAGTAAAACTAAAAACCTTAGAAATTACGTATAAAACAAACATAAGAAGACCCTGAAAGAGGAGGCAAATTGGCTAGGGATCTCAGCACCCAAGGAATGACACCTTGGTGAGTTTCCTGAGTTTTTGTTTTGCTTCAAACATCCCAGACTTGGAGAAGACAGCAATTGTGGAAACACCAACAGGTGCTGGGGAAGCGGAAGGGGGGTGGGGGCTAATGAAAGCTTTGTTCTCTCTAACCAAAGGTCCAGGAAAAGGCAGACTAACAAGACAGAAAACTTTCTGGCACTAATTGCTCTACTTCAGCCAAATACCAATGAAAAAACTGCCGACCCCTCTGCCTCCCCTCCATGCCAGCAAAGGCCAAGTGGGTAACCTGGACTTGTGCCCTGGTGAGGCCTCTAAGGAGGCATCTCAACATCCCAACTGGGCTCCTATGAGAGAAGGCTATGTAGGCCAAGTAGGGAGCCATGACACTGGCTTCAGCGGAGACCACCTAGAGAGGCTAGACATCCACCCCACCAGGCTGTAATAAAGTGCTCCCTACTCCCACTCCCCCTTGGATGGTGTCAAAGGAGGCCTTTTACCACTGCCCAGAGAGGTAAGGAGGCTACACCACTAGTGTCTAAGGTGACCACGTGGGTGCTGAAACTCCCACTCGGCCTCAGCAGTCACTGCCACTAAGGAAAGAGCTCTGGTAAACTTCTAGATCGAGTCTGTGTCCAGGGCCCAATACCATAGGGCAGCAGTTCTCAAAGGTGGTGTCTTAAAAGGTGCTATGGAACTCAAAGAGCTTTTATTTATATCTATCAATAGTTACCATATTATAAATTATAACTGATAAACTTTTAAAACAGAAAACACACAAGTACATATTTCTATCAGTCATTAGAGCAATGACATCATCACATCTCATAACCTCTGGAAAATTCCACTTACACTCATAAGTGAAACAAAATAAAAAAGACAAATAGCATCTTACTATTATTATGAAACAATTTTGACCTTGTAGATCCTAAGAGTCTCATAGATGGCCCAGCCCCACTTTGCAAACTGCTGCTGTAGGGGATTCTATAAGCAAGTCGATGACACAGCGCCATAAATTTACGAGGCACAGCTAGCAAGCAAGAAAGAGCAGCAAAGAATGACTCGCAGACTTGACATTAAAAGTGTAGTCCAAGGACCAGCAAGTGGCACTTCCATCTCCTAGTGTATGTTAGGAATCCAGCATCTCAGGCCACACCCTAAACCACGTGAATCAGAATCTTCATTCTAACAAGATCTCAGATCATTTATAAGCATATTGAAATTTGACAACTGTTGTCAACAGCATTAAAAAACTTGGACTTCATATCATCCTGAAGGCAATGAAGGACCTAACTTACCGTGATCAATTAAATATCATTTAAAAGCTATGTTACTTCACATCCAAAAGACTGTCAACCTAAACAAATGCCTTTACAGACAATATTAGCATTAGAGTCACGAGTACAAAATAGTCAACATTTTCCCTCACAAATAATTTAATGTTTCTTTTGAATCTCTTATACAACTCAAAACTTGAAAATCAAATATATTTCTCAAATGACTTCATAACAAGAATCAATGTATACTGGTTTCGGTTTATTGCTAATTTAAACTCCCTAGAATATCACCAGGCCACTTCCCCCAACACTTTCTTCTCTCTCCCCATCCTCTATTCCTTTCTCAATTGCTGGGTAGTAATTAATTTATTGCAGAAGAGGGAAGAAGAAACATTTTTGGTTTTCACAATATTAAAGGCCTTTTAGACAGTTTTTTATTAATGCCTAGTATATGATCTTGCTGTTAGCGGGCACTCAGACATCAGTTGACTGATTTTAGTATTTTACCATTAATACACAACTGCAGTCTTTCAAATCAATTCGGGAGGGAAGTACACAAAGGTAAGTGTGGTAAGCTTCTTACCATGAATGTAAGATTCTATACTACACAGAATATAGTGTGCTACGTGACCACGATGTTTTTTGTTTGCTGTGCTTAGCCTGGGATTTGCAGTTTGCTATTAGGTTGCCATGGTAACACACATCTAACAAACACTGAAGGATCCTACCTTTTAAAATAGGGATCACTTTGTAACTTCGTGATAATGGATTTTTAAAAACACATCAATGTCTTGAGAGTTAAATATGGCTAAAACAGTAAAATTGCTTCCAGATGCCCCTCCACCCCAAAATACTTTTAAATACTCTGGAATACACAAAAAGGGGGAAAAGAAAACCCTCTGGGATTTTCAATACACCCACAAAGCTCTTCACAGTTTTTAATATTTGTTTCTTTACAATAAAAATATCAGAATTAAGGAACATATTTTGCTTTTAATTTTCAGAAACAATCTTCTCACTTAATGCTAAATGCCACACTATAAGTAGACGAAGCAGGTTTGGCAAGGAGGGAAGATAAATAATACATTTATTTTGTTGGAAAACATTGAGTATGATGTGCTCCTAAGATACTGAGATGGAGAGGCCAGTAGGCAGTAAAATGTACTCCGCAGTAGAGGGAATTGGGGAGGAGAGGTAAGAAAGCTACAGAAATTAGTCTGAATTTGGTCACCAGGAAAAGTATGTTGAGTAAGAAAAGATGTATCTCATTAGTAAATCAAAAATGCTAACATTAATATAAATGATTACACTTGACCGTCAGTCATCTAGACACTTGACCGTCAGTCATCTGGACATTTGAGTATGTGTATATATAGAACTGTGACATTTAAATACGCCTTAAATATAACGCATACTAATATGGTAAAATTGTGTTACTTATTAATTCCTGAAAGTAAGCCAAGTGCAGCTTTGATTGATTTTCCTAACTTAGGTCTGAAAATGATAGTCAAGATTCAGGCAGGTTTTATACAAAATTCTACATCTAGGCACTCAGTAAAATAAACCTTTGGGGAATAAAACCTATTTTTCACTGTAACAACTTTAATATGTCATTTGTACTTACTTTTTGCCAGGCTCAATAAATGCTTTATACTAATTACAGATAGATACAGAGATGTAACTAAAACTACCTCTCTCACTCTACTTCCCTACTCAACATATTTAAAAATCCTGTGAGTTATGTACAACGGTATTTTCTCCAATTACAGAAAAGGAACTGAAACCTAAAGAGGTGGTACGGACTTGTCGCGGGTCACAGAACACTGGTTCTGTCTTATACAAAAATATATTTTTAAGCAACGGTCTAGTGAGCTCCAAACTTTTTTGTACTTGCACCCATTCAGCAAAAGAAATCTTGAATACACATTCCAACATAAAATTATTACTTGTGTATTTCATACAGTAATAGAATGAGATGAAGCAAATCTAAGTAGAAGTTCTAATATGGTCCCTTCCCACCCACAAGCCCATGGAATCATCCCAGGCCACAGCATATGCCTTTGGATGTTTTAAAAGACTACCTAGTAGCCATCTAAAAGTCAGAAATTTTTGACTTTCTTTCTTTTGAATATACATTCCAGAAGAGCTTGTCTTTTAAAAACACTCGCTTTTAATCTCCAACTCACGAAATATACTCAGGGTAATAAGCGCTCACATAACTTGTCTTCAGGGTTTAAACACCAAATAATTGCTGTTTCTAGGTATTACCACAAAATTATATCAAGCACTATTGGTCCTACAGCACCATCTCTACCCTTGAGTCCTGGGCTCCGCAAGTCCCCATTGGGATTCTTCTCCAGTTCATTTTTCCACAATTCGAGAAAGATATGCCATCGTGAAAGCTCCCAACAGCACAATTTAATTTTTCTAGATAATACAGTTTGCGTTTTCACGAAACTGGGATTTAACAACAAATCCAATTTAAGTGATGTTTGCATGGATCTCTTAAACATACTTAAGTTGCTGGCAGTGAGGTATCTCATCAGATTCGTGTAAGAGCCCAATTTCCGATCGCAATCTCAACCCCTGCCCTTTACCCCCTTTTCAAGCTACTTCTCAAAGCCAAAGGGCCATTTGGGGCCAGGCGCGGTGTCCCACAGCCGGAGACGGGATTTGCTAGCCTCGCCGCAGGAGCCGCCCGAAGGAGGGGCCCGGCGCAGACAGGCAAGTTTCCCGCGGCAGAGGCGACCTGTGCCTCCTGCAGAGAGGGCGCGAAGATCCGCGCTCGCCGGCCAGCCAGCCCGGGCCCACGGGGACCACTCTGGACACCGCAGCAGCTCCGGTGACACAGCGGTCACTAGATGGGCTGGGGGCTGCCAGCTAAGGGGACACCAGGGGGGGGGGGGGTCCGGAGCAAGGGAGAGCGAAGGCGCGTGCCCTCACCCTACCTCGAACAAGTCGAAGACTCCGCAAGGAACCCGATCGGCGGGACTGTCGCGGTGCAACAGGACTCTTACGCCACGCTGGGAGCGTCCCGGCCTCGGCTAGACGCCGTTAGCCCGCCGGGAACCGAACGCTTGCGGCGGGAGAACGCAGGAGCCCGGCTGCCCCGGCGCCCACTGCGGGACGCTCCGCGCCTGCGCCCCGCCCCCCCCCTCCCGCCGGACTCTGCCCGCGCGTGCGTGGTTCGGAGGGTTCGCGCCACTGTAGTCTAAAGGAGGGGCCGGAAGTGCCGCTGAGCGGCCGGGGAAACCGGGTAGAAGTGTTGGGCTCGGCAGCGGCGGGATGCGGGGTGGGGGAGGGGGTGCGTTGATTAGCGGAGTGAAAGGGAAGATTAATCGGAGCACCAAGCAACAGCTCCACGCATGCGTACAGTGGGCCGACTGGCTCGAGCGTACGCCCAGAACAGGCAAAGGGGACAGTCACTTCCCGGAAGAGGCGGGGCCATGTGCGAGAAGGCGCCGAATTTGATGTGCCTGCTGGAGCTTTCCGGGTCAGGGTGCTAAGCCCCAAACTTTTGTCTTTGCCTCGGAAAGGAAGGAGGAAGTTTTTCCTCTTTTCTTTCTTTTTAAAATTTGTTTGAGAAGAGAGAATTCAGAAACTTGGGAGGCAGCAACAGTTAGTTAGGATTCAGGCCAAACCAGTTAATGACGGAGGAGCGTCTTCCAAAACCAAGGAGAAGGGGCTGTCCGGGTAAGTCCCGCGGAACCGTGGAGAGACGGCACCGCCGCAGCCTCCCACTGGCTTCCTTGAGACGTGGGTTAGGGACGAGCTCCGCGTTCGCGTCGCCCTGCCGTCGCCCGGCCCTGCGCTCACCCCCGCCGGCGAGAACTCGGTGTCCGCCAGCCGCTCTGCGCTTTGCCGTCTCTGCCACGGCTTCTGAGTCCAGAGTGGCTTTCCCCCGGGCACCCCGTGGGGCAGACTCCCACGCCTGTTCGAGGCCTTCCCGGGCGAGCCTTCCCTATCCCCGTACGGCGTTCCTCTTTTGCGGCGTTCACGTAACGTTTTGAAAACACTCCCATTACAGCAATTCCCTTAAGGTATGAATGTTTGTTTGCAGTCATCCTTGACCCAGCGCTAGCCAATATCGTGTACCCCCTTGAGACATATCGGAACTAATGAAGTTGAAGTTCTTTTCCTTAGCTTTCAGCGCTCTTCTCAAGCCGACTTGACCGCTGAGATCGTTTTCCACAGCTCTTCACCTGGCACACTGATCCAGCCAAGTAATCTACGTCTGGTCTCCAGTAACGCAATTCCCTCCATCAAAGCCACCCTTTTATTTCTAAAGAGAAGCAAATATATAGTATATTCTTATTGTGGCCCTTCCTTTATATAATAAGTATAACAGTCAAAATGCAGTACATCTGGCCTAAGGGGTACTTGTTGATAAACAAGGGGAACATTTGGGAGGTTTCTGTTTAGATGTCGCTTCCTTTAGGAAACCTTCCTTGATACCTGTAACTAAGGTACCTCTTTTTCTATGTACTATGTAGTTCACTCTCCTTACCTATGTGCCTGTACTTGTCACATTGTTATAATTCTCCTTTTATCTTTTACTCACTCACACAATTACGGTCCTTAAATGCAGCAACTGATCTTTCATTATTGTATCTACTGCACCTAGAAGAATTTCTGGTAAATAGTAGGCATTTACCGTATTTGCCGGCGTATAAGACGATTTTTTGGCCCTGAAAAATATGCCTCCAAGTGGGGGGTCGTCTTATACGCCAGGTACACTTCAGATAGAC